TGGACTGACAGAAGCATAAAACACACAGCATGTAATCTGAATAGAATAAATACATTCATTCATTCATTCATTTTCTTGTCGGCTTAGTCCCTTTATTAATCCGGGATCACCACAGCAGAATGAACCGCCAACTTATCCAGCACGTTTTTACGCAGCGGGTGCCCTTCCAGCCGCAACCCAGCTCTGGGAAACATCTGCACACACACTCACACACACACACAACGGACAATTCAGCCTACCCAATTCCCCTGTACCGCATGTCTTTGGACTGTGGGGGAAACCGGAGAACCCCACGCGAACGCAGGGAGAACATGCAAACTCCACACAGAAACACCAACTGAGCCGAGGTTCAAACCAGCGATCTTCTTGCTGTGAGGTGACAGGCGACTACCTACTGCGCCACTGTGTTGTTACCTGGTAAAGTTTCATAATTTTGCAAGCTGACTAAACTTCGAAAACAAATGCAAAATAAATAACCATAAATCAAAATAAAAGGCAGAGCATATGATAATACTAATAACTCAATCAACAGAAACTGAGAACTTAAAATGCCTAAGACTCACCGGACCCAGGTGTAAGAGCTGTGGGGAAAAAAAGAGAGGAAGTAATTCAGTCATTTCAGAGAGAAAGGTGATTCCCAGGTCATGTTTAAATTCAGTAGCCTCCACTTCGCATAATACGCATACTAAATACAGACTGAGCATGAAAAAGACATGAAAGTTAAGTGCTACACCCAAAATGATCTGTCCACCTCAGGAGGTCAAATATTTACTTGATGATTTGTGAGGATTTCGTTATGCGTGAAAGCAATTCCAAAGCCCGCCTCGACTTGAATTCAACAATAAACGTTAATCAAGAGTTACAAACTTACAGGTAAAAGTCAAGCACCAAATAAATACACTACAATCAATCAAATGAGCAACAGATCTGAGAAAAAAAAGGCTGATGAACTAAGTAGTCACTTTTTCTGGCCTGGCTAGTTCCCACATAAAGAAATACTACAGGAATTTATAGTATATACTACTGTGTTTCTGAACTATACTATAGTAAAGTGTATTACACTGTATGATTCATTCATTTTCTTTTCAGCTCAGTCCCTTAATAATCTGGGGTCGCCACAGCGGAATGAACCACAAACTTATCCAGCATATGTTTTACGCAGTGGATGCCCTTCCAGCTGCAACCCATCACTGGGAAACATCCACACACATACACTACGGACAATTTTGCTTATTCAGTTCACCTGTACCGCATGTCTTTGGACTGTTGGGGAAACCGAAGCACCCGGAGGAAACCCACGTGAACACAGGGAGAACATGCAAACTCCACACAAAATGCTAACTGACCCAGCCGAGGCTCGAACCAGTGACCTTCCTGCTGTGAGTTCAAAGACATGCGGTACAGGTGAAATGGGTAAGCTAAATTGTCCGTAGTGCATGTGTGTAAATGAGTGTGAATGGTTGTGGCTGGAAGGGCATCCGCTGCGTAAAAACGTGCTGGATAAGTTGGCAGTTCATTCCGCTGTGACGACCCCGGATTAATAAAGGGATTAATTAGAAAAGAAAAAATATGAATGAATGAATGTTGAGCCCTGAAAAGTCATGTGAAATAAAACTAATTGCTATGCAACACAATAGCCCCTTTCACACAGTGATACCGGTGAATATCTGGAAAATTTCCGGAACGACTTTACCGGTATATTCAAAAAAGCGCTGTTCACACAGGCGAGGACGTTACGGAAATTTTCCGGAAAAGAGCATTCACACATCCATTCCAAAATACCGGTAAATTCTGACATCATTAACCACAAATGAGCTTTAAACGGCTGCGCTTGTATTTGTAAACATTTGACTAAATTACAAACTCTGTGGATGATCAATATTGTGAACAACTTTCGCAGGATCACTTTCGCATGTCGAGATGTTCATAATATGTGCGTGTGCTGGCGCTCATAGGCACACGCAAAGCTTGAAGGTAAACAAACAACGGCTTATCATAAGCATCTCATCGATGATTATTTACACAGTTGGCATTAAGAAGAACATATAAACGTGATCTGACTAACTCCTAGCAGCTAAATGTGTCTGGAAAAATATTCAAAGGTTTTTATTCTCACAAACCGCGCGGACGTAAATGCGTCTGACTGTTGTAATTGGCTAAAGCAGACGTGCACGCGCTTATTACGGTAATCTTCCTTTTGCGTTCACACAGCGCAGCATTCCGGCAAATTGCCGGTAATGTTACAACTTCTCTTTCCGGAAAATAGCCAGAACGAATTTACCGGTATTTTCAAAAAGGACCTGTTCACACATACAACCTTTCCGGAAAATTGCTGGCAATTTTCCGGCAAGGTCTGTATGTGTGAAAGGAGCTATTGAAACCACAGCCCATTTGCTCATGCTCACAGAGCAAGCTGATTTACAACACACAAAAAGTGAAATGAATGAGGACACATGTGGACATAACACAACATCTAAATCGAGTAATTTTAGCGTGACAAAGTCAATTTAATGCATGTAAGATATTTTCTCAACAATAAAATTGTGGCTAGGGAAAATGGCGAGTGGCTAGTAATGTTGGAAAACTACTAGCCACAGTGGCTGGTGGTTAAAAAAGCTAACGTCAAGCCCTGCTAATAACATCTAAAAAACTTGAATTTCATGGGAACTTTAATGCAAAGCGCACCTGTGAAACTGCTGGTCTTGGATCGTTTTTTGCGGGATGTGACGGTGAGGAACTCATGGGTGAGCAGATCGTTGGCCGTGGCTCGGCTGTCTGGATCAGGCTCAAAGCAGCGCAGGATAAAGGCTTTGGCTTCAGACGACATGGAGTCAGGAATCTCCGGGTGGATTTTAAACATCCCAACCTACACCAATAACACCAACACAACCGTTAGCATCCCAGAAAGCCATACCAACAGTGGTGTAGTCCTTGCTATACGCACGTATACTCAGTATGCTTACTTTTTACCACGAGCTGTTTGGGTATGACCACTTCGGAGGATCAATAATTGAGTATACCCTCAGTATACTCACTTGTTTTTCTGATTAAAATTCCCTAATTTACATGTATTTGCGTCCCCTTTAACTGTATACCAAACAGGGTTTTATTTAACTCACAACTTAATTTGTGAAGATGTGCCTATTTCTTACAATTCTTACTTAAATATTTATAAGACACATTTTTCTTTGTTTAACCCAAAAGGATCTGATCCTGATCCACACTAAAATTAAAATCCTAAAATCGCCCCTGTAAAACAGTATTTCACATTTGTCTTAATTGTGCCGCTAGTGAACGACACTATACCGTATATAACACTAAAAACAATTAGGCAAACACTACTCATAAATCGCGTAACAATGTGTGATTTAAAGGGGTAACTACTAGTATATAATAGTGACAACAGAAGACAGACTCCTAATAGTTTGGTTTAAAACAAGCATGCACGAATGTGACAATTAAAAATAATGGCTGATTGATGTTTAAAGGAACCTATAAAATGTAAAGTAATAAGCCAGTAAAGAAAGTAAGCTAAAAAGCCGTCTTTTTATGTATGCACAGCCCTTTTGAGTTAACTTAATACAGGTAACTGATGTAAAAAAAAATAAATAAAAAAATAAATAAATAAATAAATAAATAAATATATATATATATATATATATATATATATATATATATATATATATATATATATAATCTCCAATGAATCAAAGAAACATTGACTTTCGTTGTTTCTTTGCCTACTTTCATTTAAAATTTGTGTCGGGTGTAATAGTACACCACCTTTTTTTCTAGGACTACACCACTGCATACCAATATTAAGCTAATTGATTTCCTGATAGATTGTAAATCGTGTCTGTGTGCACTACTACATAATCAATATAAAGATGATCTCTGTTCATTTTTCTTTGCTGTTTAATATGGACATGAGATATTTATTACTGCAAAGACATCGATGTTTTTTTAAAATGCTGTTGTTCTTTATGAAATAGTAATATAGTAATATATAGTAATATATAGTAATAGTTTCTCTAGAAAAACATTGTGCATTTCTGAGTATGCCTCACAAAGAACTGTCCCTCCAGAACTGTCTTGAGCATCTGTCTGCGCTCCCAAAGAGCGTCTCACACCTCTTAAAGCAGCGCATTGCGTTCATTGTGTTTCATCTTCATCTTCTGTGAAGCAACTTATTTATTAGAGAAGAAAAACACCACAGTGGCTTCCCCAAACGCACTAAACTACATTTCCCTGTCTGATATCTGCTCCAGTGTATCAGGAAGTGAGCTTGTTGTTCTCTTTGGCTCATTGGGCTTTATTCGCTAATGTTCACAAAATGTTTTATGCAATACTTCAGTTTTATGCTGCTATATTAGTATATTTGGATGGACACCCTGCTGAAAAAACCACCTTAAACCAGCCTAGGCTGGTTGGCTGGTTTTAGCTGGTCGACCAGGCTGGTTTTAGAGGGGTTTTGGCCACTTCCAGGCTGGTTTCCAGCCATTTCCAGCCTGGTCTTAGCAGGTCAGGCTGGGAGATGTCCCGCTAAAACCAGCTTGACCAGCTTAGCCAGGCTGGGAGTCAAGCCAAAGCCAGCTATGTCCAGCTTAAACCAGGCTGGTCAAGCTGGTTTAAGCTGGATTTACCTGGTCATTTTCCAGCCTGACCAAATAAGACTAGGCTGGAAATGGCTGGAAACCAGCATGGAAATGGCCAAAACCCCTTTAAAACCAGCCTGGTCAACCAGCTAAAACCAGTCAACCAGCCTAGGCTGGTTTAAGCTGGATTTTTCAGCAGGGCACACAGCTACTAAAGCAACAAATATTGGCACAGATGATAAATACAGCACAGGATCGTTTCTGACCTTGAACATAGCTGCCTGAGGTTCCCCCAGCTCATAGAAGGGTGGTTTCCCAGTGGCCATTTCTATAATGGTGCAACCCAGGGACCAGATGTCTGCTGGCTTACCGTAGCCACGGGGTCCTTTATCTATGATTTCAGGGGCCATATACTGTAATGTACCTGTAAAACAAGAACCATGGGAAACACGAGTAAGAGGAAGAAGAAGACGATACTTTAGGATGCAATCAAAAGTCAACAGACCAATTCAGCTGACAAATAAAATAGATGTGTTGTTTCTAGGCTTTTGAACAGCATATGGTGCTCTAGGCTAGTTTTTAACAGTAGATTGGGCTCTAGGTTAGTTTACAAACATCAGGAGCCCTATCCAGTGCTTAACTTGTGATCTGCGAGGTCCTGGAACAGATCGAGGTAACGGATCCGAAATGTTACCCGAGGATGTAGAGGTGTCGCGCAGGAAAGAGGAGAGCGGGGGTGGGGGGTGGTGATGCCGTGGGATGGTGGAGGTGTGTCACGGACGAAAGTGAAGAGGGTTGGGGAGTCGCGGAAGAAAGTGAAAGTGAACAGGGGACGGGGGAGGAGGGCAGTTAAGGAGGCGGATTGGTAAAATGAGGTGCCGGATCAGATTTCAGAGGTGCCGGATCTGGATTAGGCATATTCCGGCACAAATTAAGCCCTGGCCCTGTCATACACTCGGCACAAGAAGGCGCAAGATGTGTTTAGCCCGATTTCTTGCTATTTTCAGACCAGCGCAACCCTAATTTTCATGTTTTGAGCCACGTTGTTTTAATAGCAAATCCATTTGTGCCACTTTGTGGACTGTGGGTGTTCCGGTCTGAATTAGAGGTGTGTTGATTATGCGCTTATGCAGGTCCCAACGCTTACATATTGCTTAATACACACAGGATGTGCAGCAATACACACATATCATTACAAATGAATTAGAATTAAAGGATTAAAATGTTACAAACATGATTGTTTTCGACATAAATAAACAAACCACTGCTTCTTCATGTCGGGGGGCTTTTTCAGTTTATTCATGACAATCTGCATCTGTATGTTATTATTATCAGCAGTATTATTTATAATATGCAGATTTATATTTGTTTGAATAAATACAAGTGTAGATTTGTCCACCTGTGGGGTTTTGGAGACGTCTGCATCACTATATGAGGCATAAGAACAGGACGTGTGCTTAGATATAACTTTTGACCACACTTTGTATTATTGTTTATTTATCCGTTTGCTGGAAATTAGAACTGAATTTATAAATAGTTTTGACACAAATCTTTGTGCTTAACAAACTAAATTAAATATGTAGGCTAATGGACGTGTTCAGAGGAGTGAGTTTCCAGTTTCCTTACTCCACCAAAGTAAAGGAGTAAAGAGTAAAAAGAAAGTAAAGAGGCTGATTGGAGGAGGCTCGTTCTTTATAATCGTGCTGCAGATGCTCTGTTTAACTGTTTTCTTGCAAGTAAAGCGTTCAGTTTTTACACTTACAAAGTCCGCCATGTAAATAGCAAATGCGTCATCACATGACGCAACTGATTCTTAAGGGGAATGTGAGACAACACTCTGATTGGTTTAATGCACATTATGCTCAAAACACACCCAGAACTCATTAAGAGAATAAGCACAATGCTGTTAGACCATGCGCTGTGGTGCAGATCATATTTTACAGTCATTAAAAAAGCAAAAGTGGATTCAAACACACCCTTAATGCGTTTGCACCATTTGCTTTAGACTTTGCGCCTAGATCATTAAAATAGAGCCCTAGCCTAAAGAAATGTTCATAGAAGGTTGAGGCACAGAGCACATGGACCTATGGCAAGACCACCACAGAACAATAGTAGTTTCAAGGCATTTACCAGATGGAGCAAAATGTTTTAATAAGTTTGCATTGGCAAACTCTTGAAGCTAACTTCCAGCAAAGTTAGTTCTGACCCAGTTTATTTTTATAATTTCACTTGAGGTACATTGAGGCCTACATACCAACAGTTTAAGTGTGCTGTTCATAAAAGCATAAGTAAAAATAAATTGCAACATAAATCCATTTCATACCAGTAAATGTTTCAGTGCAGGGGTTTATTCCAGCCAGACGTTTGGACGTTCCAAAATCGGAGATTTTCAAAACTCCACTGTAGGTGTTTATCAAGACATTATCCCCCTGTGGGTCATGAAAGAAATAACGGCATCGATTACTTACAGTCATCAATCTGCACAAAATGGGTTCAGAATATTGCAGTCTGTAGATCATGTGAAATGGCTCATGCGCCCTGCTTGTCATCAGTATCAGCAGATGCTCTCCATTTCACCAAACAATTAAACTTGTGTTAAAATAACTATAAATAACTACTTTGTTCTCCAATGTCTTCCACATCATGCATTGCACTTATGACGCTAATGGAAAAATGATATATATTTAGGAGAGGGGTCTCTAGAATGACATGAAGAGGAGTAATTAATAACACAATAATAATTTAAGAACAAACTAATAGTTCAACCCAAAATGAAAATTTACTCACTATTTAGGCACCTTCAAGTGGTTCTAAACAAAGTTCCCCCATAAGGAGGGGAACTTCAATGCTATGTGGAAAACTTCCACTATGGGGACTTCATCAGAAGCCAATCATATGAAAGAGTATATAAATGGGCCAATGAAATGCCAATGAGTTGACAGCGTCAACCTGCACATCTGTTGTCAATTACAATCAGTGTTGTATAAAGACGCCGCTCGTGCCACACTGAGGCATTCATTTCACTTTCAGAGCCTTTTATAAAGCTTCTGAGAGAGACTTATAAGGGTTTCTCCAAGTGTTCATCACAGAGAGCTCCAACCAACTCGCTCCTTAAGATCTCAAAATTCAGGGCTTCTGGTAGTACCTAGAATAGCAAAATCAAGTAAAGGAGGTCGAGCCTTCTCTTTCATGGCTCCTACACTCTGGAATAGCCTTCCTGATAACGTCCGAGGCTCAGACACACTCTCCCAGTTCAAAACTAGACTTATCTGTTTAGTAAAGCATACACTCAATGCATCACCTAGCGGGTTCCACACTGGCTTCTGCATCTTGCTTATATACACTATGAACAGCAGCTACGCTAATTATTCTCTTTATTCTCTATTTTCACCTGGGGATACTCATCCCGAGGTCCTCAGATTAGGCGGAGTCACTGATTGGATCCAAGACCAGCGACGTGATGATCCCAAGGATTCCATATCCGGGACCAGGCCATATCCTGAGCTGCTGCTGCGCTGATGGTCGTGGGGAGTGGAGAACATGTGTCTGATTCCAGCGACGCTCCAGGGACAGACGAGTCTTCATTGAGGCCATCTTCCAGCATAAACCACGGCGATTGAAGTTCTGCACAAGACTTTTGGCCAGCGGAGAAATTAAAATGGTCGTGCCCAACTGAGTCTGGTTCCCTCAAGGTTTTTTTTCTTCACTCCCATCAGGTGAAGTTTTTTTTTTCCCTCTCCGCTGTCGCCACTGCCTCGCATGGTTCAGGATTGGTAGAGCTACACATCGATGAATTTGCTCTTCAGTGTTTGAACTCTCAGTAATGATTAAATCACACTGAACTGAGCTAAATTGAACTGAACTGAACTTAAACACTAAAACCTGAACCACACTGTTCCAGTTACTGAACCACACTGTTCCAGTTACTATGACCATTTATGTGAAGCTGCTTTGACACAATCTACATTGTAAAAGCGCTATACAAATAAAGCTGAATTGAATTGAATTGAGAGAGTAAAAACAAAAAAGCAAGCTGCTTTTCCCAGTTCAGAGTGTGTGAACCGAACCCGCTCGCTTCCTCCGGGGTGGTGAGTGCGGCGTCAGATCTAGAAGCAGACATGATGGCCTTACTCTACCAGGCTGCTTCAGCCGTGTGTCTGGAGGTGGTTCATCCCCCAGCTCTGCGGCCAGACCGACTAGATGTGTGTTAAGTGGAGGATAATAAGGCCAGACCTTCTAAGCCTCCCGTTCCTCTCTTCCTGGAAGTGCATAGTGTGCTCATGCAGTCTTGGAGTGTACTTTTCTCTGCACGATCTGCATGCGCTTCCGCCCTCACCACCCTTGACGAGTCGAGCAGCCAGGGTTACGAGTCGATTCCCCAGATCGAGCATGCCATTGCGGTACATTTATGCCCACATGCTGCCTCTTCATACTTAAGTGACCGTTGAGTCTTTTCTTCTCTTAAACACAAATTAAGATACTTTAAAGAAAGTTGGAAATCAGTGACCATTGACTTCAATGGTAAGAAACACGAATACCATGAAAATCGGTAGTTACAGGTTTCCAACATTATTCAAAATATCTTCTTTTGTGTTCAGCAGCAGAAATAAACTCTTAAAAGGTTTGACACAAGTAAAGGATGACAATAAATGATTTTACCTTAATGTCCCTGTGAACGATCTGGTTGTCATGCAGGTATTTAAGACCATCCAGAATCTGCTTAGTGTAGAAGCCAATGGTGGGCTCATTGTTTTTTAGAGGACCCCACTTTGACCGGAGCAATGCTGACAGGCTGCCTGTGATAAACAAAAGTACAAATTTTTCTTTCATATATATATAAAAAAACTTTTAAAAATCATACAGATGAGTTATGTCTGCCTCACCTCCAGGAACCTGCTCCATGAAGATCTTGATGAAGCCGTTCTCGCTGATGGAGCCGAGGTACTGCACGATGTTCTTGTGCTTGAGGTGTTTATGCAGGGCGATTTCTTCATGCAGAGGCTGTGAATATCTACCAACAAACAGCTGTTTTATGTGCTGTCATGTCTCAAACCTCTGTTGAATCTTATCATCACCACCATTCCTGATTATGGTACACAGGTTCAACTCTATTCCTCGATATTTCAAACTTATGTCTTTAGTACTAGTTGTAGATTGAAAAATAAAATAAATGGGTTAATGATGAAAGTAGGGATGCAACAATTAGTGCAGTTAGCCTACGGTTCAATTTTTTAACATGGTTTTTGGCTCGGTACAGTTGTGATGGCTTGACACATGTGTTGTTGTTGTTTTTTTGTTATTCTATGCTTAGGCAATAGGCGAGTATTGAACCGTGGATGTCGTACCAAAAGGTTCAATATTCTATTGAGAATTGTGGCATACCTAGTTGAAAACAATATACATACTAGGTAGGGCTACACGATAAAGCTGACATTGCAATATTTAGTTTTCTGCAATATATACTGAAAAAGGAAAACAATTGTACCAGATGATGTTTTGTAAACAGTTCATTATTTTAGATTGATCAGGGTTGTTCTTAAAGCTTTGAAGCTGCATAAAATATAATAAATTCCAAGGATAGTTCAATGCATTAGAGCAAGAACACAAATGAAAAACAGTTCTTAATTGTTTTCTATGGAAATAAATTAAATAAGTAAAAAAAAAGGGGGAAATAACGCTGTTTCTGTTTATAATTGAATACAATTAATCTTTGTTAAAGCTGCAATGGTTTGAATTTCTTGTGCTTGGACAGTTCCTCTAAAAATGAAAATTCTGTCATTAATTATTCACCGTTTACTTGTTAATATTTGACTTTCAAATATTTTTGGAGACCTGTAACAATTGACTACTAATGTACAGTCTTGTGGTGGATCCCAGTTGTAAGAGCGACAAATAATAACTTGACCGCTAGTTGATCATTTGGAAAAGTTGCAGACGGTGGATTTTTCTGATGAATCATCTGTTGAACTGCATCACAATCATCAGAAATACTGCAGAAGACCTACTGGAACCCGCATGAACCCAAGATTCTCACAGAAATCAATCAAGTTTGGTAAAGGAAAAATCATGGTTTGGGGTTACATTCAGTATGGGGAGATTTTCAGAGTGGATGGGGACATCAACCGCCTGAGGGATCAAGACATTTGTGCTGCCCATTACATTACAAACCACAGGAGAGGGACAATTCTCCAGCAGGACAGCGCTCCTTCTCATACTTCAGCCTCCACATCAAAGCTCCTGAAAGCAAAGAAGGTGAAGCTGCTCCAGGATTGGCCAGCCCAGTCACCAGACATGAACATTATTGAGCATGTCTGGGTTAAGATAAAGGAGGAGGCACTGAAGATGAATCCAAAGAATCTTGATGAACTCTGGGAGTCCTGCTGAACGCTTTCTTCTTCATTCCAGATGACTTTATTAATCAGTGATGTGAGTCAGTGCAGAGATGTATGGATGCAGTCCTCCAAGCTCATGATGGAGTCAGACACAATATTCATTCTGTCTCCACTGCAGCATGTTTATTAATGTTTCACTCTATTAGAGACATTCCTAAATATTCCTAGCAAATCTAATAAATGTTGGAGACATAGTCACTACATAATCGCACTAAATCGCACTTCAGCAGTGCTTATTTGAGAGCGCACAAGAAGATCTGAGCTTGAGCAGCGTGTTTGAGGGCATGCAAGAAGTTTTGTGCACGAGCAGAGAAAATCGGCACGCAAGCAGAGATTGGCATGCTCGTATTTACATTAAATAAATGCGATCCCGACGTGTAATACTGCGCTTACCACACTGAAATAACGCCATAGTTGGTAGATTTGTGTAAAAGACCTGCCGCCACAAAATTCTAGAGGAAACACTGAATTATAATAATAATAAATTGCAAGGAAGCATATTGCTTTCGAGAGGGATTTCAAAGTGGATCTCATCAGACAAACCTTAAAAGGTGTAATTGCTCACCTGCTGTCCCGTTCAGGTATCTCTTTGATGGCTAAGCGCACCTGGTTACTGAGGTCACGGCCAGCGTAGACAACTCCAAAGGTGCCCTTACCCAGAATCACCTTCTCTCCATGCTCATCGTACTCATAATCATACTGCACACACACACAAACACGTCATCCCCTCTGTCGCTCAACATTGTACATAAATATACACAACAATACACATTTCAGGCATTTTCCATAAACATTCCTTGAACTGGAAAGATTTACAACAAATATACGTATATGTTTAGTGTACTGTAAACAGTCTGATTTACAGTAAACTGAGTGCATTATTAAGGTGCAGTATTTAGGATGGTTTGCAGTGTTTATTGCAACACAAAATCAAAACACTAGAGAGTTTTTTTTCCACCGGTCACTCCTCATACGATGACTAAAATCCAGATTGATGACACTAACAGAAGCAAACGTGCCTGACTACCGAGCTTAAGCCATGTCCTAACTACACGCAACAATACATGATCAATCGAATATTTTCTTTAGCTGCGTCCCAAATGGCACACTATGCACTCATGCACTATGTACTCATGCACTTACACACTCAACAGGATAGTACATGTATGTAGTGTCGTCCCAAATGGGGGCACTAATGATTTTTTACTAAGCGAAATTCAAACCGTTTCCCTGATGACGTTTGACGGTTGCCAAATCAGTCAAATAAATGACCAAACTATCAAACAATACCTGCCGCGAGTATAACCGTGTTCACCATCGGGAGGCGCTATAATCACTCTCGTAGGAGAGTTTTGCTTTCACCATCCAAAATAAATAAAGTTATTCAACATGTGCACCTGATAGCTCCGCCCCTTCCGCTACGTAAGCAAACCTGCGGTCGTTGAGTGCGTGAAGTGTCCATCATTACACACTTCGTTTTAGCGGCTGAATGAGTGCATCATCCGGGTAATTAAAGTGCACTTATTATTTTATTGAGTTTTCAGTGTGAACACACTACTTACACACTTTTAACCTAAAAAATGGCGTAGAATAGTGTATAAGAATGCAATTTGGGACGCAGCTATTGTTAAAAGGAGTTTTTTCTTAGCAACAGCAACACCTGAAACTACTATTTTAGAAACGGTTTCTTCTTCTGTGACATCGCAGGTGAACAACAGCATAAACTACGATGGCAATGATCACTTCAGGTACTGAAAAGCAGCAGCAGAAAGATTACCTCAAATCTAGAAATTAAAACAACTAGCAAACGAACAGTTAAACATTTTGTTAAGACTTTATTTTGATGGTCCATTCGAGTATTAGTAGACTGTCTGCTTAATATCTGCTGATGCTGCTCCTTCAACAGACATGTAACTGACTATAAGAAGCTTTGCAAGTACATTTCAACTTACACTAACCCTAACTGTGCATTCACATGGGGCCTCAGTGTCAACGCTTGACCGAGGGCGTGTCTGAATTTAAGGCTGACGCGATCATCATAGCAGCGTCAGCCAATGAAATTAGTCCACAATCAGCTACTGTCTTAGCTGCGGTATTTGCATAAAGTGATCTGATTGGCTGACGCTTCCATTGGCACTTAAAAAGTTGACAATTTCCCAACTTCTGCAGTGAGCAATGCCACTGAAGCGGCGCCGACAGATCCACAATGCAGTTAAGCAATTGTCGTCGCCCATTCAAAGTGAATGGGAAGCGTTGACGCTGTGTGAATGGGGTGTAACCCCTAACCCATCCTAACAGTCTACTTATTATCTAATGAGAGATAGTTGGCATGCAGTTGCAATGTAACTTAAATCACCATCAAAATAAAGTCTGAACAATATTTTTATATTATTTGCTGATTAAAATGGGGCGTCAAACAGGACAGCAGCAGCCTTTTTAATCCACACTTATGGGTGTTTTTTCAATTAGCATCATTCATTCATTTTCTTTTCAGCTTATGCCTAGTTTAGACTGCGTGATTTTAGCCACGATTTTGGCTCGTCGACAGGTTTTGAGAAATCGCCGACAAATGCTTGAAATCACAGGCAAATCGTTGCTCGTGCACGTGAGTGACAATCACACAGTATGAACGATCAAAGACGCGATCTGAGAGAATCGCCGATGAGTCGCCGATGCCTGTGAGATATTTGGCGTGCTGAATATCTGGAGCTGTCGGCGATTCAGATCATGCCGTGTGAATTGAGTTTTGACTGAAAATAACATCAGCGATCGCCTACAGCCAATGAGAGAGCGGCATTCACTTGCGTGTGCGTGTGTGTATAACTGCTGCAGGCCGGCGGGAGGCTGGGGGAGAAGTTAACAGCGCTCTTTTTCGGTTTATTTGGACCCACGAAATGGAGGAAAAACTAGTGGAGGTTTGACAGGACTCAGTAGCAACCGTGTCTGTTTGACGTTTCATACAGAAAGAAATTAGTTTATTATCAATGTTGAGGAGAAATGGCTAATTCCCTTTAAACCCAGGTGAGCAAACATGTACATTTTCCACCCCATTAAAGGCTTCTTTCTCATTATGTAGTTAATAACAAAATATATACTACATGTTTTTGGCTGTGAGACGTAGTTTGGATGAAGTTTTCGGCGATTCTTCCTATAGTAAAGTCATGCAATGTGAATGTCCCTGTCGCCGATCCATCTTGCAGTGTAAACAAAGCAGCGACAAAACGCTAGCCCAGATAGTCATGCAGTGTGAAAACATCTGTGACACGACTACTTTGAAAATCCTGCAGTCTGAACTCGGCATTAGTCGCTTGATTATTTAGAGGTCCCCTGGGCTTGTGAGGGAAACCAGAGCACCCAGAAGAAACCCACGCCAACACAGGGAGAACATGCAAACTCCACGCAGAAATGCTGACTGACCCAGCCAAGCATCGAACCAGCAACCTTCTTGCTGTGAGGTGATTGTGCTACCCACTGGGCCACCGTGAGGCCCGATTTATAATTTTATAAGACGTAACTTATTAATCATAATTGAAGCTGAATGCTTGATTCAGGAGGCGAAGACAGGCAAACGCGTGTATATCGGGAGTCTTATATGCTAGTTATTATTTTCAAAATAATACATTTCTAAATACAAACATTATTTTTAGAGATAACATGAAATAATTTGTGTTTTTATTCAACTGTTTCCTCCAATTTCCCAGAGATGGGTTGCAGCTGGAAGGGCATCCGCTGTGTAAAAATTTGCTGGATAAGTTGGCGGTTCATTCCACTGTGGCGACCCCGGATTAATAAAGGGACTAAGCCGACAAGAAAATGAATGAATGAATGTTTCATTCAAGTTTTGTTTTAGACAAATGATAGAAGGTTGATTGTGGAAATGCAAAGTATAGCAGAAATCCTAGAATCCCCCATAAATGTTAAAGAGACTTTCCTGGTTAAGCACTCGCATGCAAGATATTACCTAATAATAACTCATATTCCCAACTTTTGAGAATTTTACCTCTAAAGCCTCAGATTCACACTCGTTCTCATCCGAGCCTTTCCAGGCCTCCTCAGTGAGAGTGTTCACCAGATCACAGAACCTACAAACACCAAAAACCACCATCAGCAGGAAGGAAACACACACAGTGACATAAGCTGAACTTAAAGGAGAGAACAGAAATACAAGCAATCAGATTATTTAAATGATAATGCACATTCTGTGAATAATCAAAGATTAATCTGATTCACTTTTACAGCATCCCAGTAGGGTGCAACATCTGCCTGATAACAAATGATGTAACATTATGTTCTGCAAATCTACAGAAAGAGATGTGTTTGTAATTGCACTATAGATTGATCTCTAGGATTTTCAATGATGCTGATGGTTTTGTAGCTAATCGGAGGCTGCCTTTTATCTTATTTTATGTCAGCTGTCACACCAGTGATGTGCACAGGAGACAGTGAACGCCTTTAAGTGGGTTTGCACAACGTCATTAAAGTCTGCATGAACCGATTGAATTTATTTCAATCAGATGATGTATTTCCAAATGAATCGGAATGTTAAGTAGGGGGTGGAGCTTTATTTTTGTGCTCCTCCTCTCATCTTTCACTTGCAGCAAACTAATGGTAGAGGGGCGTGGCTAATCATTGTTTGCCCACTCCGTCACTGATGGCATGAGAGAAGGACTCATTTTGAAGCAGATGGACAGATTTTGATGAAAAAAATTTGGATTTTACTCCAGCAATAATCACTCCTGTATTTATCATTTACTTTTATCTGCCACGCGACTATCTCAAACTTGCTTATAATAGGTTTCTGGGAGTTTTATCTTGATTTGACTGAGAGTATAATACATATATATATATATATATATATATATATATATATATATATATATATATATATATATATATATATCATGTATGTATTTAATTTATTCTGTATACACTGGATTGATTTGAACATCTTAATATACTTGAAGTGTGCTCCAAACATTCATTCCAATAAGAATACAGAAGTATTGGATCAGCACTTGGTATAGGCAGATACTCAGTATTTATTAACTCTGATCACACTGGATCAGGGAGTGCAAAAAAAAATAAAAAATACAGTATATATATATATATATATTATTTTATTTGGATTTATTTATGCAACATGACTAGCTGTTTCTATTATAATCACATTGGGTTACACAGTACATAAGATATTATGAGATTATGAAAACCCATAACAAACTCACTGTCTGATTAGGCATGGGACAATAACCGTGTTCAAGGTATACCGCGGTTTGGAAAAGTCAAGGTTTTAAAACCGTCAAACTGTTCTGCTATACCATTCCTAATTGTTTGTGTAAGACTTTATATTTACGTTTTTTTTTTTTTTTGTTTCTCCAGCAGAAAAGATCTCCAAAGATGCTGTTTTAAATTGTAAAAACATCAGTGCTTTTGAAACAAATGAAGACAGCAGAAGTTTACTAGAAGACGTGTTTACTGCTCCAAAATACTATAAATGTTTCTCAAATTAAAATATATTGTGTACAAAGGGGAAAAGGGTTTAGCACATTTAAAAATAATATATTTTAGAGCAGCAATCTCAATACCGTGAAATCGTGAAACCGTGATATTTTTATCTAAGGTCATCATACCGTCATACCATGCCTATGTCTGATATGTTTTTGTCCAGCCACCTTTTGACTGACAGGAAATAATTTCATCTAAAAAGTCTGCATTTGCAGTTTTTTCTGGCATTTTAAGGAATTATGAACAATACAAAGGGAAAAAATCATTTGCAAGCACTCAAACACAAACTCTGTCAGACAAACACACACACACACACACACACACATGCATACCTCTTGCAGTGCATCTCTGTGCAGAAATAAATTTGGAAGTCTTCAGAGTTGTTCACAACATAGAGAAAACAGCTGCGCTCGTCAAATTTGGAGATGCTGAATGCACACAACACACACACACACATTGGATAAAAGACACGCTGTATCACATACAGTTGAAGTCAGAATTATTAGCCCCCCTGAATTATTAGCGCCCCTGTTTATTTTATTCACCAATTTCTGTTTAATGGAGGGAAGATTGTTTCAGCACATTTCTAAGCATAATAGTTTTAAAAACTTCTTTCTAATAACTGATTTATTTTATCTTTGTCATGATGACAGTAAATAATATTTGACTAGATATTTTTCAAGACACTTCTATACAGCTTAAAGTGACATTTAAAGGCTTAACTAGGTTAATTAGGGTAACTAGGAAGGTTAGGGTAATTAGGCAAGTTATTATATAACGATAGTTTGTTCTGTAGACTATCGGGAAAAAAATTAGCTTAAAGGGGATAATAATTTTGTCCCAAAAATGTTTTTTTAAAAATTAAAAACGGCTTTCATTTTAGCCGAAATAAAACAAATAAGACTTTCTCCAGCAGGAAAAATATTATCAGACATACTGTGAAAATTTCCTTGCTTTGTTAAAAATCATTTGGGAAATATTTAAAAGAAAAAAAAAATCAAAAGGGGGCTAATGATAATAATAATGAAGGAATAATAATATATGTAGAAATTCCAAGTGGATATTATGGAAGTTTCTGAAACTGCTAAACTGGTCTGATCACAGCACAGCAGCCACAGTAAAAGACTGTCAGTTTAGTAGATTAAGAGGACAGGATTTACCTCACACCTCGTACAGACGCTGCACTGAAATTCCACTCGTGGATTCCTTTCTATGGCACAGAGAGAAAAAGGTTTGTTTTATCAAGATAATTTAGCAAAGATCAGAAAGGGTTTTCTGGAATATGTTTGATAAAAAAACGACATATTTGAAGACCACAAAGAAAAATTCTGTGCAGATCATAACTGAACGTAGAGTTGTGTGACTCGATATATTAAGGATGTAACGGTATAAGAATTTCACGGTACGGTAATACCTCGATATGAATGGCACGGTACGGTATTTATTGAATAATTTACAGGAAAAACAAAACTAATGAAAATACTCCAAAAAGAGTGCCAAAAGTGTCAATGACATACAAATTAATCATCTGTAAGCTTTGAAACAGGAATTTCAATTTTTCAATTTTAATAACAAAAAATTAATAAACCGTTAAAAAAAATAAAGTTTTAATTTAGTATTGTTGAAAACTCATCACATTCAACATTTAATCACGCACTCACTTAGATAGAGATGGGTTTTTTAAGGAAAATGATCATATAACTATAATCTGGTAAAAGCTGGGATCTCTGGACATTTACAATGTCCCCTGCAATAGAAAAACCCCTCTCATTTGGGACTGAGGTTTGATATGATTTAGCCAAGGTTGACAGCAGTGGGTAACGTTGTGCATTGTCTTTCCACCACTTGAGAGGACAAGCCATGAGTGAGATAGAGGTCTCTTTGCGGTACAAGTAGATGGTTGCTTCAATCTAACAAGTGTGCTGTGTTCTGCAGTCCCCATGACTGTTTTTAGTCGTATTCCCCGACTTATATTTCACCACAGTCTGGAAGTGCCTGCATATTGTTTTTTTTTTTTTGTCTGTCACCTTTTCTCCTTTCTCGTATCTTTTTAGAAAGAAACCGAAATGCTTCCACACATCCGATTTAAAACCCGCTTTAGGTTCGATCATTTCCAGCTCTTTTACTTCTCGCTACTAGCAGCACACTCCATTTCCGCATTACTGGATCTGTAGTGACAACAGACCGCAAAGGGTGATGGCCACGCCTGGGTTGATGGGAATTGTAGTTCCCGCTACCTCCCGTTCGCTTCATTCGCCTGAGCAAATTTTCTCAGAAGACCTATAGTTTTATCGAGTCATGCGACTACGGTAATATTGAAAAAAATTGCTATTGCGGTACGACGGTATTTACAATACCGTTAAATCCCTCCGATATATACAGTACAGTGTGGACGAAATTAAGTAAAAAGTCTAAAAGTGGCATCTTGAGCATTCATACAAAACTCTACATATCACAACTGTTTGGGCTAGGGACCTTAATGAGGATGGACACGTTTTAATTTCAGATCAGGTATGGGAGATGTTTAAGGATGTCCTCTATTAACAAACTTCAGCTAGTACAAAATGCAGCTGCCAGGGTTCTTACCAGGTCTAGAAAATATGATCATATCACCCCCAATGTTATCCTCCTTACACTGGCTGCATGTTCAGTTTCGTATTTAAATTAAAATATTGCTTCTTACCTATAAAGCTTTAAATAATCGAGCTCCTGTTTATCTAACCAACCTTCTGTCTCACTACAATCCAACCCGCTCTTTAAGATCTGAAATATTTTGCACTTTTAAATGTGTCTGTGCTGTAGATTTACAGTTAAACTTGTAGCTTGCACAATTATTACACTAAAGAGAGCCGATGCTTCTGAGAGACCTAAAATATTTTGATCATTTTCTCCTGTTTGTTTTTCTGCTGTTAGGGCATGACAAAGATCTGCTCCGGCGGGAGCTCCTAGATTCTCTTACTAGATACTTAATACACTACATTAATCTTTTAAGCAACAGAGATCAAACATAAGGACTAAAACATGACTAGATGGATCTAAGACTAAAACAAAAAGTAACTTTAGCATATGCTTGAACAGACTATTATGAAGTTACATTACAGCAGTGTTGAAGGTTACAGATAATAAAACAGAAACTTGCATTCACGGAAAAACAGGTAAACGTTAAATAATTGATTACTTTGTCATCAGGGGTCACGTGCCAGATGGATAACGTGTTCTCCTCAGCATCTTTGTTTATGGAGAGGTAGGACGGTTGGTATACTTTAGTGGGCTCCAATATCAACACCTGCACACACCAAGACAAACAAAACTTAGCGCCAGCAGCACTCACTGCTTTTACATGCTATTAACCCTTGTGTTTTCATCCACTCTGGGGTGATTTTGAGTCTTAATTTGGCCATAAATTTCTCTGTGTTACAGCACATGGGATGTCATCAAAAAAATGATGACAAATCTTATTTTGACACACATTTTATGGAAAATGCTTTGAAAGTTTGCAAAAACTCAACAGTAGACTTTGAGTCAATCTACTACCCTTTGGTTATGTTGAGGGCTGTTTTTGCCCCATTGACTTCCATTATAATCACATCTTTTGATTGCAAAGCCATGACACCACATGGCAAAGCCAAGCCAACACTACATCCGAAAACATCCGAAAAGCAATAATTCAATACAACATTTGTTTTTAAGTAGTTTTTTTCTGCCACAGCAACACAGAAAGGTCTTTGTCCCACCCTTACGATTCAGGTAAAACTAGTCGATTGTGATTGGCCACTTTTCATATCAGTCAAATCACCGCTTCAGAATCCGCTAGTTTGTGCGGGTATTTTTGCATTAAATAGTTACAAAAGTTCACAAACATTTTTATTTTTCTGGCGTGAAAATTGCATACACACTTTCCTTGATACTTTAAGCACTTTTAAACAAAACAAGCCAATTTTCCAGGTAAACCAGGCCTTGAGTTTCTAAGAGCCAAATATAGGCACTTTAAAGGGCCATGAAACCCCCTCGTTTCAGCAGGGTGTTTTCACACCTCTACTTTGGAAAAAGTCAGAAAAGTGGGCGTGTCCAGCTCTGTTTAGGGGGGAGTGTCGGAGGAAGAATAGTGGGATGGTGTGGGAGTGTCTATTTAGGCACGCGCGAGTTTCAGAGTCAAAACACACACACACACAGGAGAAAGTGATGGTGTTTAACCTACATGGACATCTGTAGTCAAATTATTTGCCAAATTATTAAATGGTGGACTTTAACTGCAGTTTGGCTCTTTCATTCAGGGAATTTATTCATGCCCCTCCTGACAAACAAGATATTTGATTAGAGGATCTGCTGTAAGCGTGTATTTTTCATGCAATGTTTGATACCGCACGGCGAATGAGAGAAAAAAACCCTCCGCATTTCCCGGAAACTTAGATGCACACGGCAGGTAGTGTCAGAAAGCTGCGTGTGTTATTCCGGTCACAAAATGCGGTAAAAATCCTACACGAGGTTAAAGTTTGGTTGTGGTGCTAACATGTTTACACTCTGTGCAATAGTTTGTTCGATACGAACAAACTGAATAAACAAAGAGCACTGCTCGCTCACTTACCAAATCTGTAGAGACAGGACAATCACCAGCAACTAGAGCCGCGTCTTTATTAAGAGGAGACTACAAGCGAATCCGGATCTCAGCGTTTGCAGATGAGAACAGCTCTCAGGTAAACAATAATCCTCCTTAGACGCGTAAGTTATTGTTGTCGAGCGTCGCGTACACTGTTAATCCACACGTGATCCAGCTGAGCTCTCACAGAGAGAAAATGAAAACGAAACTTAACTGCAGCAAACTATAAAAGCAACACTTCACGCTTGTTTTGCCAACACAACGTGGTGTGAGTGTCGTAAGCACTGTGACAGTAATGAATATTAATGAAGTTGCACAATAGAGCGCGCTGATTGGTTTGAACCAAGCCTTACTCATGCATTAATGCATCACACTGTAAGACGTAATAAGACACACTCTGGCACAGACGTCCAGTCTGCACGCTGGAATACACGCTATTATCTCATAGCCGTGACACAGCTTCAAAAATTTGTTTCAAACCGGAAGTACAAATTTGCTTGAAATAACGCAAAAACAACCAATTTACACTTTTTAGTGAAATATAGGTGTCCTAACAGTGTTTTTAGCAGTGTGGGACACATATACGACTGTCAACAGCTCAAAACATGTGTTTTGGTGTTTCGTGACCCTTTAAACACCTTGTGCGAACCCTGATTTTAAAGGCCAAATCACACTGCGCAAAAAAATGTAAAGGACAGCCATTTATTTTGATCAAAGTGAACATTCAATTGAAATTAAAAAAACCTTAACAAAGAGGACCTTAGAAAAGAGGATCTACACATGCAAACAAAGTGCTGTTAATTGTATAGGTTGCGTAAGTGGTAATGTGAAACACGCTAAAGCAGTGTAACCGTCAACAGCATGAAGAGGGCTCATACCGGAAATCGCACAGATGTCACATCCTTATCCTTATTGGTGGCTTCTACCATGAAGTCCATCCAGAAGTCCACCAGCTCCTGTTTAGGGGCCTGCGGATCTGTGCTTACTTTGGTAAAGTGCTTATAAATGAGGATGGTTTCAACCAGCGAGCGCAGATACCTGCAGTAAACACAGAACACCTTAAAGAATGAGCAGCACTCTGAAAGACTGCAAGTAGGAGTTACTTTAACAGACAACTACATTCCTTCGCATCCACATACTGAAATAAGTCTGAGCAACTTACGGTTCACACAGACTTTAAGCATTTATGTGTGCAAATTGTGAGTATGTGCACATACCAAATGGGAGCTTTGATTTTGAAGAGCTTCTCAGAGGCCTGGATGACTCGAGTGTTGTCACAGGCCAGAATACTAGCCCCGAGAAAGAATCCCACATCCCAGTAGCTCTGCAATCTGTCCAAACTGCCTTTCTTCCCCAGCAGGCTGCTTAACTTCACACCTACAGGACACACGGATCATGTTATTTACTCACAAGCTGTGGGTCAGACAGTAAGAGCATGTGTGCAGTGTATTTGAGAAACGAGGTCACTCTTCTCATCAATAGTAAGATAAACATAAATAGGTGCAGCTGAACGGATGTGGCTCAAACTAATATCCAAACTGTCAATCAAACGCACCTACTTTACGCAGCTCAAAAGAGGAGTCAAACTGATGTCCTGCAGCCAGCAGCAGCACTGCATAGTTGATACCAGAGTGCAGCGTGGGCTCCGATTCAAACCCTCTTCTGAACCTGCAGAGAAAGAGACAGTAAATCCCACAAAGCCTACCAAAAATAGAGTTTGCATTATAAAAACAGGCTTCATTTTTTTGAAGAGAAAAAGAAAATTATGATTGATACACTTTATAATAACTGCACATAGTGAATTTTCAATAAGCATCAGCAAATGGTTGATCATTTTTAAGCATTAAATGTACAATAAGTACATCCAGGAGGTTGTTATCGCAGATTAAAGCCCTACAGGTTTATCGCATGAAGCGGAGCACTGTTGTATAAAACTGAAATAATTAATTCTGTGAAAACAACCACTAGGTTGAATTTTATCCTGCATCGCTACTTGCCACAAAATCTAGTAATTACACACAAAACATTGTTCTAAACTTTATTAGTTTATTAATGACTTAATTCAACACAAAGCTAAACAACTGGCAACAAAAAGTCAAAAACGCTAATCTGTCAGATACAAAAACAGCTGATGGAGTATACACTAACCTGCACATTATTCAGACACAAGATGGAGACAAACAGTCAAAAACACAAAGCTGACAGACACTAAAACAGCTGATGGAGTATACACTAACCTGCACATTATTCTGACACAAGATGAAGACAAACAGTCAGAAACACAAAGCTGACAGAAACTAAAACAGCTGATGGAGTATACACTAACCTGCACATTATTCTGACACAAGATGAAGACAAACAGTCAAAAACACAAAGCTGACAGACACTAAAACAGCTGATGGAGTATACACTAACCTGCACATTATTCAGACACTAGATAGAGACAAACAGTCAAAAACACAAAGCTGACAGACACTAAAACAGCTGATGGAGTATACACTAACCTGCGCATTATTCAGACACAAGATAGAGACAAACAGTCAGAAACACACAGCTGACAAACACTAAAACAGCTGATGGATTTAACTCTCAAGTAAGCATTTATGGGAATACCGGATAGATATTGTATACCGTCATTCCTCCTTAAAATACTGGGATATGATTTTTTGCCCATATCATCCAGCCTTAGTACTTATAAGTCACGAATACATGATTTGCAGCAGAATTAATAATAAATTACTTACTAATGTCTACTAATGTAGAGTTCAAGGTTATTATAGTTAACGAAAACGGAAATAAAAAACTAAAACTAAAATATAAAATAATTGTTAACTGAAATAAAAATACAAATGAGTTTGTAAAAAACTAGAACTAACTGAAACTGTATTGTGTACATACAAAACTAACTAAAACTAACTAAAATTATAGCAAAAACCTCCTTCGTTTTCGTATTTGTGAATGTATTTAATACATAATCTTACAGTGAGCCTTTTAGAAGTAAATATGATTCGCGCCGCAGGTGTTTGGCCCTTTCACACCTCAGAGTCTGTAATCCTGCTGCTATTGGCCAGATCGAGCCAGTTCTCTTCCAGTCATTCTTGTTGTTGCTCCCGCAACAAAAACAACGGGTGGACATGACAGCAGCACGGTGACAGCATTACATACAGAGACTTAAAATTATTACTTTTATTAATTACTATTACTAATAATGTTTGTTTTTTTTCGATCGCGAACGATATCTTTTTAACAGTATCTTCTAAGTGAACCGGTTGAACTAGTTCACCAAATTGAACTGAATCATTTGAAACGATTCGCGCCTCCAGTAAGCACTTATCCACAAACTACTTACTTTATAACAAGCCTAATACCCCATCTGACTCTAAATAATCCAATGTATACTCTCATTCAGTGATTAGAACAGTAACGTTACATTGAGAAGCGGTGAACCGATAATACTGTGCATGCATGCTTCAGTGTACCAAACACAAACAGTACAGCCTGCTGTGTGACTGAGCTAAACTTGAACAACTGCAGTGCAGGTGAACTGAGGGCTTAAATCAGAGTATCTGGTGAAAAACTTAAGTTTATTTCATAACAGACAATCATAATAGAATTTAAATAAGTGAATCAGGCTTCAGTTGGGTTGCAAGACTTTACTGTAAGACATTTGTCACATCATGGTGATGTTTTAACTGACTGAAATTACTATTGCTGACTATATAATGTTGAGACCTAACATCCGCGTTAGAAATCTGAACTTCCCATCACTACTGTGTGTCTAACCCATGGTCTAACCTCAGAAGCAGCCTTGCACTCGTATTGTATTTAAGGCTGCTATCTTGTAGGCTGTTGTATTTGAATTTGAGGATGGGTAGATGGTTGTGGTAGATGATAGTGTTCACGTGTCCTCTTAATACATGTTCCAGAAAATGTATGACTGAGTGTTTATCATACAATATTTATCCTGTTGATTTTAAATTTTGCACCCAACCAATATCCTTATTTAGAAAAAAAATAAAACTAATACTGAAACTAATAAAAAATTCATTTCAAAATATAGAAACTAATAAAAACTTGTAAATCTCCCTCTAAAAACAAATTAAAACTGACTGAATTTGAAGTCAAAACCAAATAAAAACTAAAACTAATGAAATATCCAGAACTATTATAACCTTGGTAGAGTTAATGCTTAACTATTTGCCAATGCTTAATAAATGACTCATAGTGTGCAGTTATTATAAAGTGTTACTTCATGAAGTGTGACTCACCAGTGTATGCCTTGATCTCTGCTGTTTGTGTCTGTGAAATGAGAGTCCAGGAACATATCCTTATATATACGGCCTACCAAACAATAAATATCTGACGCCACCTGCTCATCGGAGTTGACCAATGGCAACATAATGTCCAGCGCCTTCTGACGGTCTCCAGGTAGGTTTCTCCTGTAGAGAAGGAACATAAAGAGACTGTGAAAATCAGAAATGAACCACAATATGTGGAGACAATGAATGTAATAATGCAGTGCTTCTCAACTGGTCTGGCCATGAGAGACACATTTTCCCTGCTCATTAAAATCTGTGTATCATTCGCTTTTAGGGTATATGCAGGAATCCTAAAGGAAATGTCAATACTTTTTAAAGACCTTCTCAGAATATTTTAAGACCTCGTCGCCACTTCAAGGTCTAATCAGTATCAAACCTTTAACTTAATAAACAGTTGCTAATGAACAGTTTGGGCCCTATCATACATCCAGCGTAGTGTGGCGCAAGGCGCGGCGCAGTAGTCTTTTGGTAGTTTCAGCTTGGCGCAAGAGTCGTTTTGAGGCGTTGCGCTACGCTGTTTAAATAGCAAATGCATTAGCGCTCATATGTGCGCCCATAGGCGTTCTGGTCTAAAAAGGAAGGCGTTCTGAGGCGGACCGCTGGCGCGTTGCTATTTTGAGAAACTATAATAGATTTTTCAATAGACCAAAACAAACCCGGTCTAAACTCCAGCGCAGAGTTGCGCCTCGCTTACACACTGCTTAATACACACAAGATGTAGAAAAATACGCAAATATCTTTACATATGAAAAAAATGTAAATATTAAGGATATATATAGGATATAATACGAATAGATATAGAATATAAATATAAAGGATAAAAATATTACAAAAAATATTATTTTCTAGCCTACATAAACATGAAAAATCACTGCTTTTATGTCTTCTTCATCTCGGGAGGCTTTTTCAGTTTATTCGTGACAATTTGCTTTTGTATAATGTTATTATTATCAGCAGTATTATTTATTATATCCATATTTATATTTGTTTTATAAAAAACAAGCTTAGATTTGCCCACCTGTCAGGTTTTAGACCATATGGGGCACAGCATGTGTTTTAGGATATTGAGCACACTTCATTATTATTGTTCATTTATTCGTTTGCTGGAAATTAGAACTGAATTTAGAAATAGTTTTGAAACGAATATTTGCGCTTAACAAACGCAATTAATTATTTATAGACTAATTGATGTCTGTGCGTAAAGGTTTCCCTATCCAAGAGCGAAAGTGAAAGTGATCCATTATCTCTCATTCTCACGCAGTAGATGCTCTGTTTAACTGTTTTCTGTTAATAAACTGTTAACTGTTTGCTTGTGAAATGCTCATTTTTTCCACTTAGACTTACTTTGCGTCCTGTAAATAGCGAATGCGCTCTTGGCGCGACGCAGCTGACTCTTAAAGGGAATGGGAGATGAGACTCTGATTGGTTTATTCTCAAAACACACCTATAACTCATTAAGAAAATAAACTCAACCCTTTTAGACCATGCGGCACGGCGCAAAGCGGATTTTCCCGTCTGTAAATTAGCAAAAATTAGTTCTGACACGCCCTAAAAGCGTTTGCGCCCTGCGTTTTGCGCTCTGCGCATGGGCCGTCAAAATAGAGCCCTTGTAGTTAAATAAATCAATGAAGCACAACCGTGCAGCAGAACTCAGATAAGCTCAGAAGAAACAAACCTGGAACGAATAAATTACACGGTTGTTTTCAGCGACAGGAAATTCAGCCACTGTTTAAACCAAATGAGCCACATGCCTGCTTTTGAGTGAAGGTCTCGGCTGTTAGATCGCCCCCTGGGGGCTGGCTGCAGTACAAGTCATAAAACTCGCCTCCTCCGTGTGAACGAGACTTGAGCCCAAATGAAAAAAGTAATTACACTTGCAATAAAACGTCCTGGAAGATAGTTCTGGTCAATTAAGGCTCAGGTTAACAAGCTGATATAGGTGCAGAGGACGTTTTTAGCTAGTAATTTAATGCTATAAAAACAGGGCGTGTCATCATGACTGACAGACGTCGGAGCTTCAGCAGGAGATTGAAGTGTTATTCTATTTCTGTGTTAATTTACCATGATAAAATGAGTTCAGCAGTAAACATTACTTTCTGACCTACATGATCTGATGGAACACTGTGTATTTGGTAAGGTCAGGGCTTTAGCAGGATTAATTATTTTACTAATACATGCCTAACCTAGCCATGAGTGGGAAAATACAGGTGATGGCTATCTAGCAGTAATTCTCTGTATGGGTCTGAAATAATAATCAAGAAGACAAAACTAATGTTAGCCGATCTCCACATTGATCTCCTGTAAGGTTATTTGAACTTGATTTAAAGGACGTCTCTGACATTTTGAGATTCGACATGTTATTGAGGTAATCTACTGAATTTGCTGTTATTAAATATTAATAATATTAATTTGTAAGGAAACAGGTTGCCTGATGTTTGTGTGAAAATGAGCAAGACGTGCAGTCTTACCTGTTGAGGGCAAATGCGTAGTGGAACTTTATATGAGGATGGGCCACGGGGTCAAAGGTCGGCAGCTTTTCCAGTGTTTCAACTAACTTCACAATAGATTCATAATCCTACAAAAACAAACAAAAAAAACAACTTACAGAAAATGTACAAAAACTGGTAATAGGGAGTCAATAGTCCATGTGTTTCTATTTAAGCTTATGAGCATTTTCTTATATTTCTTATATCTTCTTTCTTATATCTGACAAAAAAGTTTTTATAAATTTTTTATGCACATTTTCATATTAATGTGCATATTGGTGGTTCTATTATAAATGCGATATTCCAAAATGTGCGTAAAATTGATGAAAACATAGCAATATATATATATAACTATATAACTATGTAACTATATATATATATAGTTAAAGTCAGAATTATTAGCCCCCTTTTGATTTCTTTTTTCGTTTTTTTATATTTCCCGAATGGTGTTTATCAGAGCAAGGAAATTTTCGCAGTATGTCTAATAATATATTTTCTTCTGGAGAAAGTCTCATTTGTTTTATTTTGGCTAGAATCAAAGAAGTTTTTAATTTTTTAAAAACCAATTTTGGGACAAAATTATTATCCCCTTTAAGCTATTTATTTTCTTCGATAGTCTACAGAACAAAACATCAATATAGAATAACTTGCCTAATTACCCTAACCTGCCTAGTTCACCTCATTAACCTAGTTAAGCCTTTAAATGTCACTTTAAGCTGTATAGAAGTGTCTTCAAAAATATCAAGTAAAATATTATTTACTGTCATCATGGCAAAGATAAAATAAATCAGTTATTAGAAATAGGTTTTTAAAACTATTATGCTTAGAAATGTGATGAAACAATCTTGCCTCCATTAAAGAGAAATTGGGGAAAAAATAAACAGGGGCGCTAATAATTCTTAATATATGTACACACACACACACACACACAGTTGAAGTGAGAATTATTAGCTCCCTCCCCCTGTTTATTTTTTTATTTTTTCCACAATTTCTGTTTAACAGAGATAAGATTTCTACAATACGAGTTTTAATAATGCATCTCTAATACCTGATTTATTTTATCTTTGCTATGATGACAGTAAATAGTATTTGACTAGATATTTTATTTTATTAGAAAAAAGCCTATACAGCTTAAAGTGACATTTAAAGGCTTAACTAGGTTAATTAGGTTAAAGTTTTACTTATTTTTTAAGTTTAAGTTAAATTTATTAAGCTAAAAAAAAATTAAAGTTAGGGTAATTAGGCAATTTATAATATAAGGATGTTTTATATATATATATATATATATATATATACATACAATATGTTAGATATATAATGTTCTGTAGACTATCAAAAAATATATATAGCTTAAAGAGGCTAATGATATTGAAATTAAAATGATTTTTAAAAAATTCAAAACTGCTTTTATTTTTGCCGAAATAAAACAAATAAGACTTTCTCCAGAAGAAAAAATATTATCCGACATACTGTGAAAATTTCCATGCTCTGTTAATCCAAACATTTATTTCATGAGATTATCCTATATTTGTGAGTGTACTAGTTTTAAAATGAAAGCATTAAAACATTAATTATATCCTCTTAGATTGTTGTTAGAGTCTGATCTGAGTGAGCATTGTATCAGTAATCAGAGGAACATGCATAATTCATTAGACTTTTTGAATGTTTTGTCTTGCTCTGAAGCTCCAGAATAAAGTTCATGTATTATGCACTTTACTACAGTATAATTTCTACAGCACAGTCCATGAACAAACTGTTCTGACAGCTGATTTACTCTAGTGATTTGGACTTAGCCGATTGTTGCAGTGCTTCCCACACATAAGCTGCGTCCCAAATCGCATACTTGTGCACTATTCTACGCCATTTTGTAGTGTAAATAGTGTAAGTAGTGTAAAAATATTATTATTATCTTCCTTTTTTTTTTTGTGTATCCGCCTAATATAAATTAACAACCGCGATCAATTAAGTAGTGGAAAAGCTACTCTCCTTTACCTGTTTCATACTGCTCGTTCGGTGTACGCACAGCCAACGCACAGACTCAGTTTCATGTGCTCTGTAGACCCACAGAGACCAGCACCTTTTTGCGTCCGACCCGCGTTTCTAAAATTCACAGAATTTTCAGTTCTGACGTCCACCATGGGAGAGAAGCTGTTCTCGCAGTGTCCGAAATAAAAGCAAGAGCCTATATTCTCTGTTCACTCATATTGGTTGAATAAATGAATGAACACTAGAAACTCATAGACCACAAGGGGGCGTATTCCCACAGTCTTGTCCAAATGTTGTGTGCAGTGGAAAGGTGGCTTAAAGGCAGACGGCTGCTTCTCACTCAGGGCTGACTATGCTAATGAGGGACAGCTTATCAATAGTGGGCGGGGCTTCCCCTCTGATGACACGTACTAAAGGAAAATGTCAATCAAAGTGTTTCCGCAATCAAGTGTGATTATAAACAGCAAAATGTTCTTATTTTTACCACTGGAAGCTGGTTATATTCACAGACTGTTGCCACACAACTGTGTTTAAACCTGTTATAAAAGTGATTTGTGCATAATAGGAATCCTTTAAGTTATTAGTGCCTTTAGTGAAAATGCCTGGACCATAATTGTAGGAGTTTAAAAACTGCAGTTAGGTGTCATTTATCATATATTCAGTTACTGCCGAGGTGTGTCAAAGTTATTTTATTACATTTACGACTTCCTATTCTCCATTCATTAATTTTTAACAGCACAGGCACCTAACAGTCCCAACAATATATGCAACTTTACTTTAACCCTTTATCAGGTGGAGAACCATATATGCTAACTTCATTGACATTGGTTACAATATAATTTTTAATATACAGTCATAAATGTTCACAGGTCTTGTAATAATCTATAGTAGCACTCCTGGGATTGTTAAATGAGCATTTCAGTGAGTGCCCTTTAAAGGGTTAGACGCATAAATAAACACATTTGAAAGCAAAAGTTTGTTTATTCTTTGCTATTTTGCGAGCTGATTAATAACAACTTCGTCTTTACAAAATGGCCTGTCTGCATTCTGTGGATAAAGAAGAGGCAGCTAGCGTGAAGCAGAGCCAAGCTTAGAGACACACTGAGCTCTTCAAACATTTACTGCAGTCTAACTGGAGCTCCGCACCTCGCTGTGACGTCTTCAGGGGAACGCTACAGTACAGCGGCTTATTCTGTCCATGCCGTAACACACTGACAATACCAGAACATCATTTGGAATATTTGATAAACAATATTTGATAGCATTTGGAATATAAATAAACAAGAGCTAATCACACTGATTTTGACAGTGGACACAAAATCAGTCCTATCCCAGATAGCATACCAATGTGGGCCACTTTTAGTTATGCAGCACTGGTGGCCTTCCTTAGGCCCAGACAAAATGAATGTGAGCCTGAAGTGGCCCACCTGTGCAATGGCAAAGGGGAGCCAAAGATTTAAATTCATTTATGGGCCATTTAAGGCAAAGATTTAGCACTTATGGCAAAATGTAATCAGAATGTGAGCCTAATGTGGCCCATGTGGAAAATGATCAATTTGGCCCAAATGATGGAGGACAAATGTGGGCCACAGTTGGCAAAAATGTGGCATAGTCATTTAAGGGTGATCTGGGTCTAAACCTAAAGTGGCTCACATGTGTAAGTGCAAATGTGGCCCAGTTATCTTAAGACATATGTGGGCCACTTTTGGCAAATATTCGGCACAGTACGCTCTGGCTAATGCAGCCTTTAGCCTATAGTGGCTCGAAAAAGATATGACAAATGTGGCCCAGTTATCTTAAAACATATGTGGGCCACTTTTGGTGATTATTCGGCATAGTAAGCTATGGCTAATGTGAATTTGAGCCTATAGTATTTATACAGAAATGCATGCTGGGATTTTTGTACTTTGCCAAACCCAGCAAGTGTAAGGTGTAGGCCAGATCTGAGCCAAAATTTGCTTTTATTCTGGCCCAGATCTGGCCTTCATCCTACACTTGCTGGATGTGGCAAAGTACAAAAATCCCACCATGCATTGTGATATGAACACATTCTTTAGCTTATTGATGCTCCAGTTATCATTATTTGCTGTTGATTCTGCTGTTTATGATGACGTTGTTAATTTTGGGTCAGCTCTGGTTCATTTGGTTGAATCCTGGCTAATATGTGGTATTGCTTTGGCTTATTTGTGGCCCAGATCTGACAAACAGGAGCGGACCGCCCTACAGCCATCATTCCATTCAGTATGTGGTCCAGATGTAAGTGTTTGGTGTGGGCCGGATCTGGGCCAGAATAAAAGCAAACTGTGGCCCAGAATAGGGTCAGTTCTGGTTCATTTGGTTGAATTCTGGCTAATATGTGATATTGCGATGGCTTAATTGTGGCCCAGATCTGGCAAACAGGAGCGGACCGCCCAAGTGCCATCATTCCATGTGGTATGTGGGCCGGATGTAAGTGTCTGGTGTGGGCCGGATATGAGCCACATGAATTTTGCTAGCTGGGTAGGCCTACATGACAACTTTCTAGTGCCTTACAATAGGCTAATTTCATGGCTTAGTTGGCTTATAAACACAGAATATAGCGCACACACAAGATCAAATTTAAATCGGTACCAGCTGGCCAATACCCAATCCAGCAAAAATGTGTGCTATCGAACCGATATCTGATCCAAGTATCGGGATCGGTGCATCCCTATTACACAGTCAATTTGTGTTGGGACAACGTGAAAGAATTAGGCTAACTTATTCGTTTGTACACATTTAAGTAGGTTAAACAGAAAACAATTAAGTTGTCCCCTCGAGACTCAATTTTTGACATATTTCCTGAGGTTATAATGCAGAAACATGCATGTTGTCTCATAAATGTGTGAACCTCTCAGACTAGAAACATGCTTGACATGTAAATATATTTGACGAGTACAGGTGAGAGTAGTCTGTCAGTGGCGGATAAACATCTGCTCTGCGTCAGAGTGAGGAGGCTTCTCTGGGTGGGGAAAACTCCAAGTAAACAGTCCTTGATGGACACATATCTATGCACCTTTCACGCATCATTTAACACCTTTAGATGCTCCTGACAGGAGTTAAAATATCATAGATCATTTTAAGCCAAAATAAACAGCTTCGTTACACTAGACCTTCCAGTTAGCGCAACACACATAATGTTTTTATTAGTACACAATACATAGCCGGCAGCTAGTTCTCTGCAACTCTCACATGGTCGCTCACTGAAGCTAAGCAGGGCTGCGCCCGGTCAGTACCTGGATGAGAGACCACATGGGAAAGCAATTTTGCTGCCGGAAGTGGTGTTAGTGAGGCCAGCAGGGGGCGCCCAACCTGCAGTCTGTGTGAGTCCTAATGCCCCAGTATAGTGACGGGGACTCTATACTGCTCAGTGAGCGCCGTCTTTCGGATAAGAGGTTAAACCGAGGTCCCGACTCTCTGTGGTCGTTAAAAATCCCAGGATGTCCTTCGAAAAAGAGTAGGGGTTTAACCCCGGCATCCTGACCAAATCTGCCCACTGTCCATCATGGCCTCCTAACCCTCTCCATATCGTGATTGGCATATCATCACTCTGTCTCCTCTCCACCAATCAGCTGGTGTGTGGTGTGCGGTCTGGCGTCGCGTCATCCAGGTGGATGCTGCACACTGGTGGTGGATGAGGAGATTCCCCCCATTGTGTAAAGTGCTTTAAGTGCCCAGAAAAGCGCTATATAAATGTAACAAATTATTATTATTATTATTATAACGGTGTGCTTCTTGCTGTTTGCCCTGCCCCACAGTAGGCACGGGATGACAACCAGTTTCAAGGTTTGCAGAAGTTTGGAAAAGTCAAAATAATCTGTTATATATCTGTGGCATATATTTGTTTTTGTTTTGTTTTTTTACACGTTGTCAAAGACTTTTTTTAAGGCAACAGTATCTCCACCAGCAATAAACTATCCACATTAAAAGCTACCGGTCAGCCCTCGGTTCAGCAAACATCTGAAAAACATATCAATTATCCCCAACAGTACGGATCTGGTCTCCCTTATCTGACCCACTAGCTTCAGATTTTGGAGTATCTTCTAATGTTTTGATGAGTTGATTCAGGTGTGTTTGATTAGGAAGTGGTTAAAAAATGTGTACAGCTGGTGTGCCTTCAGGAACAGGGTTGGGAAACATTGCTATAGACATGGTGTGTATATTGACAATAAGCTGGACTGGTCCAAGAACTCTCTGGTCACATATAAGAAGGGTCAAAGTAGGCTGTATTTCCTACGTAAACTCCGATCTTTTAGAGTCTGCAACACCATGTTGCGTATGTTCTATGAGTCTGTAGTGGCCAGTGCCATTTTCTATGCTGTGGTGTGCTGGGATGGTAGTGTAAAAGTGGTAGATATGAAGAGATTTAACAAATTGATTAGGAAAGCTGGCTCTGTGGTGGGTGAGGAATTGGACAATATGGAAACTGTGGCTGAAAGGAGAACATTGTGCAGACTTCGGTCAATTATGTACAATGTAGATCATCCTCTTCATAATGTGGTTGACGAGCTGAGAAGTACCTTTAGTCACAGACTTACCAGCTTAAAGTGTTCCACTGAACGCCACAGAAAATCCTTCCTTCCCACGGCTATCAGACTTCATAACGTCTCCCTCAGTCACTTACCCTTACAGTAATCTATGCAATACCTTGCTGCTCGTGCCGTATATTTACTTATTACGGGTTTTAGTGTGTGGAAGTTTGTGCATTATGTTTTATGATGTGCAATTGTAACCCAGCTAACTGACTAGGTCACTAAAACAAATTATAAATAGTTTATTTTAAATTATAACATTTTATTTTATGATTGTGAGGAGAAATATTAAATAGTTCATTTATATTATATACATAGTGTTTAAATAATAATAAATAGAGAATAAAGTAAGTTTTGACTTGGTGGAGGTCGGAGGTTAGCTCCGCCCCCTTGCGTGTGTGTGAGAGCTGCCGTTGAAGGAGAGTCACTTTGATTAATCAGCGCGAGCGGATTGAACGACATCAGACACTGTGAAACAGAAGTTTAGATAATCCAAACGATCTAAAAATCATATTGTTTCGGTGATTGACTGAGAAAAGCCCAAAAGTTTCTGATTTTAAGGATAGTAAGCTGACAACAAGTAATAGAAACGAGAGAAGTGCGAGCGGAGCACAGTAATGCGATCGAGAGAACATAAAACTTATATTTAATCGAGACACATTCTTCTTTATTCTCCCTGTTCATCTTTATCTTTCCTTGGCCGGGTTTTTTTGTGTGTGTGCGTGTGTTCCCCTTTCGTTTCTGCTACAATATCCCGATCTGTCCCTGCCGTGGATGCTTTCTCGGTGGTCCGGACATGGCGAGCCGCCCTTCTGAAAGATCATAACTGGAAGTAAATTAATCCGTTGCTCATTGAACTGGTAGGACAAAACATTCTTGCACTTTCACTGCGCTCATATTTTTGTTTTTATTCAATTTTGGATTTTTTCTATTTCTGGACTGATTTTTTGGATTTTTCACATCGAACTGGAGCTAAAAGAACTTTTGAGTGTTGAACATTGAACTTGGACTCTGAATTACTACTTTTATTCAATCTTTTCCTTCGTTTTTTTTATTTTTCTTCCTCATTGTATATGATTTGTGAAACTGAATTTGTCTGAAGTGAGATTATCATCTGAAGTGTGGTGATTTCATTATATCTTTTATTTTTTTATTCTAGTATTCACCAAACTGAACTGTTTTGACATTTATTTATTTGTTTTATTTTGTTTTCCTCATCCAACTTGTTTAAACAATATACTTACCTCAGTTATTCAAATTTATCTTTGAGTCTGACTTATTTATCTATCTAAAACTGGTTGTTATTTCTATACACTCTAGCGAGCGAATTAAATCTTCTGACATCTGGTCCTAAGAAGAAAATAGCAAATACTGTAAAAATAACACAATAGAAAACGCATCAATAACACATAGATAAGGGTTACACAATAGTCTACTAGGTGCAATATTTGTACGTTTTTTTTTAGGTGTTAAATATTTTTAGTGCAATATTATTGTTTTTTAAATGAGTGTTGTATCACTTTATTACTTGAAATATTTTATGTGCAATTGTTTTATGTGTAATATTATTGGTTTTGGTTAATATTATTTTCATTACTTGATATATGACTTAATAGTATTAGTTACCACTGATTCTTTTAAGTGTAATATCGTATATAATAGTTTGTGTATTTATGTATTGTGGCTGTTTCCTTCTATAGATTGGTTGGATTTATGTGACTTATTTCACTTATTTAATTTATTTATTCTGTCTTGTGTTTTTGTGTTTCTGTGCTTTGTGTGTTATGGCAGTCATTACACAAGCAATTTCCTGCGGGATCAATAAAGTTTTCTAAGTCTAAGTCTAAGTCTAAGAACAGTGCAGTGGCATACTGTACATCAACAGAAAAGATCTCCAAAGATGCCTTTTCAAGTGCTTTTTAAAACTAAAGAAGACAGCAGAAGTCAATGACTTATTTCAATGATTTAGCCAGACATGTTTACAGCTCCACATTTTTTAAAATGCTGCCTAAAATAAAATATATTGTGTTTAATGGAAAAAAGAACATATTTTAGAGGAGTAATCCCAATACCCTGATATAAATACCGTTATATAAATATTTACAGAGAATTTACGACTTTTTTGAAAGCAGCTGCAGGTGGTGTGTTGCAGTTACCTGAATATCTCTGTATGACAGCAGGAGATTGATGACGACGTCTGCTGAGAGACACTCCACGTTGTCGAGCCGCTGCTGGATGCGCCGGAGTTCTGCCGCCAGCTCTGCTCCAGTGTAAAGCTCACGCGCTTTACGAATCTCGTTCAGGACGGTCTCACGGAAGTACTGGCTAAACAAGCACACAACAAAGAAATGTTGCTGTTAGAGTTGAAATACTCTGAAAAAACGAAAATCACAGCTGGGCTATCATCAGACATCATAGACCCAATCCCAATTCTATTTTTGTACCCCTTCCTCTTGCACCTTAAAACAGAGTGTGCATCCAGTTGTGTTATTTATCGAAAAAATATATAGCTTAAAGGGGCTAATAATATTCACCTGAAAAATGTTTTTTTTTTTTTTTTTAATAAAAACTGCTTTTATTCTAGCTGAAATAAAACAAATAAGAGTTTCTCCAGAAGAAAAAATATCAGACATGCTGTGAAAATTTCTTTGCTCTGTTAAACATCATTTGGGAAGTATTTAAAAAATAAGAGAAATAATAATAAGAGAAAACTGCCTCTCTGGCTATACCACTAACCGTACTCAAAAAAAAAAAAAAATAAAAATACTAATGCTTTCCTTCTTAGGGTGCTTTCACACTAGCGCTTTTGGTCCGCACCCGGGTTCGTTTGACATCATAGTACAGTACGTTTAGCTAGTGTGAACGTGTCTTCTAAACTCAGGTGCGCACCCGTGAACTGTACCCGAGTCCGCCTGAAAGAGGTGGTCTGGGGTACAATTCATGCGAACTCTGGTACGGTTCACTTCTGATGTGAATGCAATCGTACCAATTCACGGAAGTGAACCGCCAACTGTACAATAAACTATCGTTTTCATAACGTTCGTTCGTATTTGTGTGTGTGTGTTACGTTTCGTACCTTGGTGACACTCGCGGGACTGAGCCAACGCAAACACAGTGATACACAGTGATGTCTGCTTGTCTCCTCCAAAAACAGCTGCTGCAGACTCTGTGTGATGTTCTGAATGTTTATAATATGTTTGCAGCAGATAGACGCGAGTTGCTTTCTGTATGTCCAAAATCAAAAGCTTCAGTTAAAGCAGAATGACCGCAATAAGCGGAAGTCTTTCCATTTCGGTCACCTAGCAGCGGCCGTAAACAAAACAGCAGCTCGATGACGCAAGCGTACCGGGGTTCAGAAGGAAAAAAGACAGTATGAACACAAACCAACCGAGGAGGTGGCAGGGGGAGACAATCGAACTTGGGTGCGGTCCAGGCAAATGAACCAAGTGTGAAAGCACCCTTAGACTTTACATACCTGAAACTTGCCTACAACACTTCAATTCATTGTTGCTCTTACAGTAATTTGCTTCCTTGTCTTCATTTGTAAGTCGCTTTGGATAAAAGCGTCTGCTAAATGACTAAATGTAAATGTAAATAAGAGAAAGAAAACATTAAAACAGTACAAAGCAATTACTTGAGTGCAAATCATTACCTTTTTTTAAATATTTAAAAAATAAAATAAAATTCAAAGGGGGGCTAATAATTCAACTGTATATAAAACTGCACCGTAACTGCGCTTCAGTTAGACTTTGATGACTGCAGCGCTACCAGCATGTCTCAGTAAAGAAACCTGCTTGAAGTTACATCTGTTTCAGAACTTCTAACAAGCCTTTGTGAGCAGAAAAAACGTTTTATTGATCTATATATTTTCTACTTAACCTAAATGTTTCTAAACGCATGATCAATAGTGCAGTTTATTTTGTTAGACATTGAAAAAAGCTGACTCAAAGTGACTTTGCTTTGGTCTTTTCCTTACCACGTAGGCAGTTTTCGGCTAGAATTACCTTCAAGGTTTTTATTACACAGAAAACTGGATGCTCGAATAAAAAGTCTGACAAATGGAATAATACCAAGAGGCAAGGGCCATTTTAAATATCAATGCTGCAGCTTTCAGCAGGACACTATGTGCTCATCTAGTTGTTCTTTTTAAGTTTTTTGACTTGCAGCAGGGGGATTACAGATAAATATAATCACAGCATGACATTTACTGAAGAAACTGCTTAGTTGTGGGTGATATGACCAAATCTTTACCCTTAGGTGCTTTTATCTCAAGCCATTTACATAACATTCAAGCTACACATCTTATCAGTTCACTTTTTCCCTGGGAATCAAACACATGGCCACACAGTAGTGTCAGAGCCACAGATTTCATAATCTACAATGTCACTGCAACATTGCACAAACTGACTGTTAACAAGAATTACACGGCTGTCTGGAATCCTCAAATCTGTTGGGTCAGTACAAACATTCCAATGTATGTTATCTTAAGATAACAACTGCTGAATAACATTCGGGAAATGGGAGTCACTGTGACCGTCATGTTCACATTCATATGCTTACATCTGTATCTGTTCATCTGTCATGCTGCAGCTTTTGTCTGTTTTTTAATGTTTGGCTGATTATTGCTCAGGTTAATGTATACTCCGTCAGCTATTTTGGTTCTTTTGTTTCGTTTCATGTCTAGCTTTATTCTGCAATAACAACCATTCCGGAAAATATATTTTTTTCAAATCACCTTAAATTGTACAGCGCTTTTACAATGTAGATTGTGTCAAAGCAGCTTCGCATAGAAGATTATAATGATTTGAAACAGTGTCGGATCAGTTTTCAGAGTTTAGGTTCAGTTTAGTTCAGTTCAGTGTGGTTTAATATTCACTGCTGAGAGTCCAAACACTGAAGAGCAAATCCATCGATGCAATGTACTTCATTCCAAACTTTTGTATATGCAACTTTTACCTGATTTTAATGCTCACAAAATTCATTGTGGCAAATCTCAACTGGTTCATTTTTTATATCTTTATCAAAATATACACAAATTACACATCAAACCTAAATGTGGACTATAAGGCATTAAATGTATTATAAACATTAAAGATGTATGCATGAATCGTTGTTTGCACTTGGTTAACAGCGGTAAAAAGTAGTAAACCAATGACCTTTATGACTAATCACAGTCATTTCTGTTGAGTACGTGAACACAATGGTCAATTAGACGTGTTTAAAGGGTACGAAACACCAAAACACATGTTTTGAGCTGTTGACAGTCGTGTATGTGTCCCACACTGCTAAAAACACTATTAGGACACCTATATTTCACTAAAAAGTGTAAATTGGTTGTTTTTGCATTATTTCAAGTAAATTTGTACTTCCGGTTTGAAACAAATTTTTGAAGCTGCGTCACGGTCATGACATAATAGCGTGTATTCCAGCGTGCAGACTGGACGTCTGTGCCAGAGTGTGTCTTATTACGTCTTACAGTGTGATGCATTAATGCATGAGTAAGGCTTGGTTCAAACCAATCAGCGTGCTCTATTGTGCAACTTCATTAATATTCATTACTGTCAGTGTTTAGACGACAGAGACGCCACGTTGTGTTGGCAAAACAAGCGTGAAGTGTTGCTTTTATAGTTTGCTGCAGTGAAGTTTTGTTTTCATTTTCTCTCTGTGAGAGCTCAGCTGGAGTCACGTGTGGATTAACAGTGTACGCGACGCTCGACAACAATAACTTCCGTGTCTAAGGTGGAACATTGTTTACCTGAGAGCTGTTCTCATCTGCAAACGCTGAGATCCGGATTCGCTGCTCGTCTCCTCTTAATAAAGACGCGGCTCTAGTTGCTGGTGATTGTCCTGTCTCTACAGATTTGGTAAGTGAGCGACCAGTGCTCTTTGTTTATTCAGTTTGTTCGTATCGATTCGTATCGAACAAACTATTGCACCGAGTGTAAACATGTTAGCACCACAACCAAACTTTAACCTCATGTAGGATTTTCACCACATTTTGTGACCGGAATAACACACGCGGCTTTCTGACGCTACCTGCCGTGTGCATCTAAGTTTCCGGGAAATGCGGAGTTTTTTTTTTTTTTCATTCGCCGTGCGGTATCAAACATTGCATGAAAAATACACGCTTACAGCAGTTCCTTGAATCAAATATCTCGTTTGTCGTGAGGGGCATGAATGAATTCCCTGAATGAAAGAGCCAAACTGCAGTTAAAGTCCACCATTTAATAATTTGGCAAACAATTCGACTACAGATGTCCATGTAAACACAGTCACTTTCTCCCCTCTGTGTGTGTGTGTTTTGACTCTGAAAGTCAGCGTGCCCAAATAGACACTCCCACACCATTTCTCTTTTCTTCCTCCGACACTCCCCCCTACACAGAGCTGGACACGCCCACTTTTCTGACTTTTTCCAAAGTAGAGGTGTGAAAACACCCTGCTGAAACGAGGGGGTTTCATGGCCCTTTAAGTACGCACTCAACTTTGCTCAAATTGTACAGGGAAATTTCAGTATAGATTGATAACAAAGTAAATACTTTTAACAACACTACTGGAAAACTCTCCAGATTTTCATTATATGGCATCTCTAATAATAAGCTCTGCTCTCTGAGGAAGTAAAAAAGTAGGCAAGACTTTATTTTGATGGTCTTTTCGAGCAATAGTAGACTGTCTGCTTAATATCTGCTGATACTGCTCCTTCAACAGACATTTAACTGACTAGAAGCAACTTTGCAAGTACATGTCCACTTACACTAATCTTAATCCTAATTTAACAGTCTACTTATAATCGAATGAGAATTAGTTGTCATGTAGATGCAATGTAACTTAAACGGATCATCAAAATAAAGCGTGACCAAAAAGATCAACAAAAATAAAAATAACATGTCTGATTCAACCTTCACTTACAATCATACAAGTGCATTCCAAACACTCATGATGAACCCATCCAGTGATAAAGAAGACAGAATTTGCATGACCTCTTTTAGTGAGTGTGTATTAACAGTGGGACTAAACGCAGAAGAGAGGAGAGGATCTCACCAAGTGTTTGACTTGCAGCCGGTGAGCAGCTGTGTGAGTCTGTCCAGCAGAGGCATACAGATGGGCCCCAGCAGGGCCTCAAAGCTGGGCTGCATCAGTTCACTCAAACCCTTCATCAGACTGCTCTCGCAGCAGTACACCTTACTCTGAGGCGTCACCATGTACGGGATAAACGTGTAGTTAGCAGCGCAGGTCTGGATAAGAGCAAACAGAAGAAAGCACTGTTAAAACCAACAGTGCATATAGACGCTGAAAATCAGACAGTAGTAAGCAGTTGGGCTGTGCAATTTATTAAAATGATCAATATGTTGCAAATGTAAATATTGCAATGAAAATCTCACAACGATTTACAGTAAATGAGCAATTTAATACAAGAGTATCTGTGTGTGCCTGCATTAGCACACCAGGCAATGTAGATCCATGTAAAAACACACACATATATAGATATGTTTACAACCAAAGATGCTAATTCAAATGTATGTGCAAAAGAATGTGTGAGTGGGGGGAGTCGGAGCAGTCACTCTGGTCGCCCAGGCTTTGCAATTGTTGGGGAAATTCCAAGTTGAACCAAAAAAATCCATTACGATTGGCCTAAAGGCTGATTTATACTTCTGCGTCAAACGCCGGCGTATGCTACAGCGCTGACGCATAGCCCTTCGCCGTGGCTGTCGGCGGCGCTGACGTGCACCTATCAAAAAATGTAACTACAGGTCGCAACGACGCGTAGCGCAAGCTCTGTGATTGGTCGGCTTGGTAGCACTGACGAGTCTGGGCGGGACCGAGAGCCGCGTGAATGGTGCGAGCCTGATGGAGCGATTGTTTACAAGTGTGGAGTCCCGTGAAGAAGCGCCGGATGGAAAGTTTTGTTTTGAGTTTACCTCATATTTAAAGTTGTTGCACGTCCGCCGGTTCCTGCCTCTAAATGAGCGAGTTTGAGCCACTTGTACATCCAGGAAGTGTTCAGGAAAAGCAAAACAACAGCAAAGAAACTCGACACAGAGGAACATTTACACCTCACTGCCCACTAGCGTGGAAGTGTTAATGCAGACCAACAGAGACAGTGTGCAGAAGTATAAATGCACAGCTACGCGCGTTGCATGCGCCGTGGGGTCACTTGACGCAGAAGTATAAACCAGGCTTAAAACAGGGGCGGACTGGGACTAAAAATCAGCCCTGGCACTGTAGCCACACCAGCCCACATTACCACACTGACACAGCCCCATCCACGGACACGCACTACCCAATTCACCTATAGCACGTGTTTGGACTTGAAAGGGAAACCAGGAGAAAACCCACGCGAACAGGCAAACTCCACACAGAAATACCAACTGACCCAGCAGAGGCTCGAACAAGCAACCTTATTGCTGGGAGGCAACAGCGCTACCCACTGCGCTGCCCCATTTCGAGACTAGTTCAGTTAATTTTATGCTGTTGGCAGAATCTGATTTTAAAGCCATTGTTTTGTTTTTTTTTTTGCTTTCTCTAAGCTTTTCGGCACTGCCTTTTCTTTTTTCTGGTCCATCTCTGACAATTAGCCTGTGTTGCACTTACTGTTTGTTTGACATTCTTGCCAGATTTTGATTACCTCTGATTGGGTTGGCCCATCTCGAAACCAGCTGGTCGTTGCCGATTGGGCCAATGCTTAACATTTATTATTACTATTACTATTATCATCATAAAAAGCTGCCTACACATAAAAACAATACATATAAAAAAAAAACTACAAAAATAGCTGACTGGCTCACATTTAAAAAATGGTCCAGCTCTTCTGGCATTTGCCCGAGTCCGCCCTGCCTTAAGATTGGCAAGCAAAACTCAGGACAATGCAACCTGCAGAACCTGGGAGCTTAAAAAAAAAACTCCTGAGACCCAAAGAATGTTTTTTCTTTTTTTTATGTGATTTACTACATCCTTTGGGTTAAAAAAAAATATATAATTTAGTTTTTACATTTTGTTTTTATTTTTAATTTTACAGCATGTGCACTGTAGTTGACCACAGGACCATTTTAGTTCGAAACTCAGACTCTCAGCCACTCAGACAACAAAACTGTACAGGATATGGCTGTAAAGGAATATTAATCTTTGTATAGGTTTTACTAAACGACAGGCATTTAATATCGTTTAAAAACTATATATGTTTATTTGTAAATTAAAATGTAAGATGTAAAGTTTATTTTGTAAGCTAGTTATTTTTTGAAAAGGAAACAAATTAATTGTTTATTTTATGAGACCTGGCTCATTTTCTCTTGTACATTTAGTATTTGTCTTTAATAACGGAAAACTACCTTTAACCAATTGCTCAATTAAATCATCGGGAATTATTCTAAAATATTTGATAGCTACAGAGCTGTACAATTTACAAATATATGAAGTGTTTTGATGACAAAAACCTCTAAATGCCATCTGAAATTTTCTTCTAAATTGAGCATTTTATCATGCTCCTGTGTAAATGTTCAGTATTTTCACTTTTATGGCAAAGAATAAGTCACTTTCCTGGTCTTTAAAGTGAAATATCTCAACATAAACAAAGGGGAATGAGAATAATGTCCATTTTGGATGGAAAATTCAGACAGCAATTAAGAGGTTTTTGCATCTGAACTCTTCATATGTTCTTTACATCTTATTTGACAGCCGTTTAGTTTCCTGGTCTCACTGTATAGTACATTTCAGAAGATATCAGAATATCACAAACTCCCAAAAATTATAATCCTTAAAACTGCACATCTCCCAAAATAACCAAACCCTAAGAATGGTCAAAGAGAAATACCTTTCAGGTCTGCATTCAATAATAAACGAGTAACAGCACAAAATGAAGAAAAGAGGCAAATGTTTTGGAAAAGAACAGCAATTGAGCAGAGAGTGAGTGAAGACACTTACCATATTCTTCTGACAAATCAAATCCTGTAAATGAAAAACATCAGACAAGACTGAGTTCAGGTTTATACATGACCACTTCTCCATCTGACAGGATTTATTTTTTTTAAAGTTTTTTTTAAGTGGACCCGATATGCAAAAATCACTTTATTAAGGGGTTTAAACACAGTTGTGTGTCAGCAGTGTGTGAATATAAGCAGCTTCTAATAGTAAAAATTTATTGATTTTATTGTTTATAATCAGACTTAGTCTGTAGAAACACTTTGATTGACTTTCTCCCTTTGTATGTGTCATCAGAGGGGGAAAGCCCCGCCCACCAGTGACCATCTTTCTCTCATTAGCATAGGATGTTAGCCTTGTTTTTAAATCTGCCACAATGCTGATATTTGTAGCTCCGCCTTCTTATGAAAAGAACACAATCACATTTGAATTTAAAGCGACAGTCACCAAAACGCCATAATTAGGATCAAAGCCTAAAAGAGGCCGTTTCAAAGAGTTTTGGAAAAAATGATGTGCGGGGTATTTTAAGCTGAAACTTTACACACACACTCTAGGGACATCAGAGGGTTATTTTACATAACCGGTCCCCTTTTAAACAATCACATTCATGTTTATTTACATGATATTAGAAACACTAAACATGTTCAGTTTCTATATCCATTGGTGTTATTTTTCAGGGTACCCCAGGATCCTCCAAATAAAAATTCAAGGCTTTTTAAGACCTTTTGAATACCATTTCAAATTAAATTCAATGCCAACGTTGTACACATTCCGACAGAAGTATGAAGGGAAAAGGGTCAAATCTGTATAAAGTTTGAACCCTAAAAACAAAACAATTATGTATCAGTGGACTACTTGAATTAAATAAAACATTTTATTTCAATTATCAGTTATATTTAATACATACGCAACAATGTGGTCATCTAGCCAGTAGCAAATATGAAGATCCAACTGATGGTCAAACATGACCACAAACCCACTGGCCTTATTGACCTGGGCAGTCAGTTCTTTGGTTATGAAAGAAGACAATCCCAATTTAGTAGTATATGCAGTACTGTGGCTTCCACACAAGAATGTAACTGCAACCTCAGAGTCAGGAAACATGGTTTTGAAAACCTCTGTAATGTTCTCATTCGATGTGTAAGAGTGGTGTTGAGCCACAGTAAGATAGGATGTTCCTTGGCTGTGCTGGCAATGCTTTGAATGTAGAAATTTCTTTATTACTGATGGCCAAAGAAACGAAATCCAAGACTTTGTATAATAATTCAAGACTATTAAAACCTTAATTTGAGATGATCAAAGTTAATACTTTTTCAATGCTTTTAAGACCCTGCGGGTACTCTGATGTTTGCATAACTGAGTACTGTAACTGTTGTATTGTAACAGCATTCTTCAAAATATCTTCTTTTGTGTTAAAGAAAAGAAACTCAAACTGGTTTGGAAAAAGTCAAGGTTGATGAAAATAATGACAGAATATTTTTTTTTGGCTGAACTGTCCCTTTAAGGGCCCTATCATACACCCGGCGCTATGTAGCGCAAGGCATGGCGCAATAGTCTTTTGGTAGTTTCAGCTTGGCGCAAGAGTCGTTTTGAGGCGTTGCGTTACGCTGTTTAAATAGCAAATGCATTAGCGCTCATATGTGCGCCCATAGGCGTTCTGCTCTAAAAAGGAAAGCGGACCGCTGCCGCGTTGCTAATTTGAGAAATTATATTAGATTTTTCATTAGACCAAAACTAACCCGGTCTAAACTCCGGCGCAGAGTTGCGCCTCGCTTACACACTGCTTAATACACACAAGAGAGCAATAGGCAAATATCTTTACATATGAAAAATGTTAAATATTAAGGATATATATAGGATATAATAAGAATAGATATAGAATATAAATATAAAGGATTAAAATATTACAAAACATATTATTTTCCAGCCTACATAAATATGAAAAACCACTGCTTTTATGTCTTCTTCATCTCGGGAGGCTTTTTCAGTTCATTCATAACAATTTGCTTGTGTATAATGTTATTATTATCAGCAGTATTATTTATTATATCCATATTTATATTTGTTTTATTAAAAACAAGCTTAGATTTGCCCACCTGCAGGTTTTAGACAATATGGGGCGCAGCATGTGTTTTAAGATATTGAACACACTTCATTATTATTGTTCATTTATTCGTTTGCTGGAAATTAGAACTGAATTTAGAAATAGTTTTGAAACGAATATTTGCGCTTAACAAACACAATTAATTATTTATAGACTAATTAATGTCTGTGCGTAAAGGTTTCCCTATCCAAGAGCGAAAGTGAAAGTAGATCCATTATCTCTCATTCTCACGCAGTAGATGCTCTGTTTAACAGTTTTCTGTTTTTTTCTGTTTGCTTGTGAAATGCTCATTTTTTCCACTTAGACTTACTTTGCGTCCTGTAAATAGCGAATGCGCTCTTGGCGCGACGCAGCTGACTCTTTAAGGTAATGGGAGATGAGACTCTGATTGTTTTATTCTCAAAACACACCTATAACTCATTAAGAAAATAAACTCAACCCTTTTAGACCATGCGCCATGGCGCAAAGCAGATTTTCCCGTCTGTAAATTAGCAAAAACGCTTTCTGACCTGAAAGCGTTTGTGCCCTGCGTTTTGCGCATGGACCGTCAAAATAGAGCCCAAAGAGTTTAAATGTTTAAAAAACATTTCTTCTTATTTATTTTTTATTTAACAAAGGTAATTCTGCTGTTTATGTAAAATTTATATGCCTGCACAGATTTTTATTTAGTTTATTTGAATATATTATATTTTGTGTAGTTTTGGTTTCAGTTTAACATAAGAGTGCTGCTTTGTAGTCTGCAGTGCTCAACTTGACCTTCCATTTCCAGTGACTAGAGTAGAGCCAAAGCAACGACTGTGGCTTTTAACACCTTTCTCAACACATTTAATTGAACTGTTAAAAGCACAATGCACCTATTTTGACGTATGAACATTTCTTCCTAACATACTACTGTTGAAAGGTTTATCAGCACAGTGTTTCCTGAAGTGTAGTGGTGTGCTTCCTGAAATGCTATCAAGTAAAATAAAGAATATACAACGTGTGTATGAATAATGCTCAAAGCTATTTTAAACATCTGTGTGCATTTGCCAAGCTCCATCTTGGTGCTGTCACGATACTGGAATTTCTAACTTCGATACGATACCTTGAAAAATATCGATATTTGATACCATGGGGAACAAATTCCACAACATTAAAAGTATGTGAATGAAGTAAAAAGGGGAAAACGCTAGCTAAAACATATAATGCTTATATCAGCAGCCCTGAAATCTAAAGGCTAATAAGTTCTAAAATAAATGTGCAAACTCATGTTATTTTCTGATTAACACAAAAGTGTTAAAAACATAATATTATTATGACGTATTCACCTCTCTGCTGGTGAGAAGAGAGAGTGCGAGAGAGCAAAACCAGTATTGATACTAACCAAAATCAAGATTGCATCACTTTAAATACTTCAGTATCCTCCTCTAAATTTCTGCCTGGCAACAAGCTCACTCCATTAAAGAGTTCTTCTAAACATATCTGACATTATGTAATTCACTCCCCGCTTGCCTGGTGTAATTCCATTTAGTAATGTAAAGCAATAATAGAGGTGTTTGACCCAGCCAGGAGGATCTCCATGACAATAATGCCTGCCTACAATACATTTTACAGGAGATCACTGTGATTAAAGTGATGCGCTGCAAACTATTATGCAACTAGTATTAATAGTAAGCATCAATCCAACAGCAGCGTGAGCAGAGATTTGCTCACTAGATTACAAGCATTTCTCCAACGGACTAAATTCATCATTTAATTGAAATGTTTATACATTTAAAATAATTAAATTGATAAAATTCTTGTTCAAATTAAGCGTTCAAGGCTGTGCTAAATATTTTGTCCAGTGCAAATGTTGATTTGATCTAATTAATGTCTTGATATTTATTCAATTGTATGCTTTTTATGAACTATTCAATTATATTTATTGAATTATATGCCCCATGAATTAAGTATTTAAGTCAGTTGGCGTTTCTGTGTGGAGTTTGCATGTTCTCCCTGCGTTCGCGTGGGTTTCCTCCGGGTGCTCCGGTTTCCCCCACAGTCCAAAGACATGCGGTACAGGTGAATTGGGTAGGCTAAATTGTCCGTAGTGTATGAGTGTGTGTGTGTGTGTGTGTGTGTGTGTGTGTGTGTGTGTGTGTGTGTGTGTGTGTGTGTGTGTGTGTGTGTGTGTGTGTGTGTGTGTGTGTGTGTATGTGTGTGCGGATGTTTCCCAGAGATGGGTTGCAGCTGGAAGGGCATCCGCTGCGTAAAAACTTGCTGGATAAGTTGATGGTTCATTCCACTGTGGCGACCCCAGATTAATAAAGAGACTAAGCTGACAAGAAAATGAATGAATGAATGAATGAATATTGACAATATTCTTGACAATTTTCTTGTTCAAATTAAGCATTCAAGGCTGTGCTAAATATTTTGTGCAGTGCATATGTTGATTTGATCTAATTAATATGTTAATATTTATTAAATTGTATGCTTTTTATAGCTTATTAAATTATATTTATTGAATTATATGCCCCATAAATTAAATTAAGTATTTGCCATTTAAGGCTTTAAAAGAAAACAGACAATGAGCAAATGAGTTTAATAAACACTGAAAAGAGTTTTACTTACCATACATACACAAATAAAAATATTTCACGTTAAATATCTACATTTTTAAAGATTTGTTTCTTTTTCAACAATGTAAAATATAATATGTCAGTTCAATATCAAAACAATGCTTCTACATCATCACATTTACACACGTCTCAATTTTGTGTGGTGCGGCATTATTTAGCCGGCTCTGAATTTGTGTGATTTTGTCTTTCTGGTCTTTCCTGCAGTCAATGGAGCAGTCCAGCGAGATGTCAAAAAAAGCTGATCCTGATTGGTCCTCGTGCATGCATTAAAAATGCTGATTGGCTCACAAAAAGAAACTTACAGAGCCAAGCTAGAGTTCGACTTTGTATAAACCGTTTTTGTTTTTTTTAAATAAAAAGTCTTAAAATGTAAACAACTTATAAAACAAACATCCCATAATGTAAATAAGTCGTCATTTAATAAGAATATGCCAATAACTCAATTTTGACAAAAATGTCAGATAGAACCTTATGGGCTCTATTTTGATGGTCCATGCGCAGAGCGCAAAACGCAGGGCGCAAACGCTTTCAGGGCGTTTCAGAACGCATTTTTGCTAATTAAAGGACGGAAAAATCCGCTTTGCGCCGTGGTGCATGGTCTAAAAGGATTGAGATGAAGAAGACATAAAAGCAGTGGTTTTTCATATTTATGTAGGCTAGAAAATAAAATGTTTTGTAATATTTAAATCCTTTATATTTATATCCTTTATCTATTCTTATTATATTATATATATATATATATATATATATATATATATATATATATATATATATATATATATATCCTTAATATTACAATTTTTTATATGTAAAGATATTTGCCTATTGCTCTCTTGTGCGTATTAAGCAGTGTGTAAGCGAGGCGCAATAATTCTGACTTCAACTGTACAGTATGTACAGCGGCTAACAAAGCAGTTTTTAAATGTACATTTTTCAATCCAAATTTTAGATTTTTAGGATTTTATAAGACAAATAGAACTGGAAATCATGTGATTTTTTTCCCTTGCTCTGTTATACAACTATAGAAACCTAAAATTCAAGATGCATTTGGCCAAAAACTTGGATTAGATGAGGTTCTTGGTGAGCACTACATTCTCTTCATCATGTCTTTTATGTACTTATTTGTGTGTATTTGTCATTTCAAAGTTTTCCTGACTTAAATTTGGTATAACAGTAATAACAAAAATATAGTTAAAGGGAAAGTTCACCCAAAAATGAAAATGTCCTGTTAGTTGAATCGCGCACAGGTCATCCAAGATGAGGTGACTTTCTTTCTGCAGGAAAACATTTAATATTTCAATCCAATGATCTAATGATTCATCTAATGGCAGGGACTCCTTTGTATGTGTTTATTTTTCATCTAAAAACCATTAAACCGCCTATGTAAGAATCCCCAAGGAGCATGGATTCAGTTCAAAATCTTCTTGAATGTTCTACTGAAAAGAAAAGCCACCTCCATCTTGGATGACCTGCAATTTAACAGGACATTTTCATTTCACATCTCTACAATGTTCTTAATCTTCAGTCTGGTAGACTATCAAAGATAAGAGGCCTTTAGTTGAACCTGTTATGTAGCAGCTCCTGAATTTAGTGATGCTGAAATAAAAGAGCATCTGACCTGGAGAGACTGCAGCGAGTCCGAGTTGTGATCACAGTAAAGGATGATGTTGTTGACCATGCAGAAACTCTCTCTCACACCCAAATGATAGAAGAGGGAGGGCTGCCGAAATGCATCCGTCAATTCAACCACTGCAATATCTGTGAACAGAGATAGAGGTCACATCTTTATTACATGCTTTTAAAATGATATATGAAGAGGTGACAACACCAAAGCTCCAAAAATATCTCATTTATTTACTAATAAAAACTATCCCAGCATTTCAAGCACACCGGCTATTTCTAAAAAAAAAAAAAAGTGAAATGTTTTTACCCAGACCTGACACACAGATAGATATACAGAAAGATGAACAGATTGACGTGCAGATAGTGTTTGTTTGCGTGGTTTATTTTCAATCGGGCCTGTCCCTACAGTTGAGTTCAGTGCATTTAAATATCAGCAGCAGGAAGTCAGTTCCTCCGTCTGCATGCATCTGTGTCTGAGCTGTTGTTTCAGTTAACCCAAAGGAAACAGACACAACACAGAGACTGAGCAAAGCAGCATACATCCCTGAGCACAAGGCCAGGTGAAAAAGTGTATGAATGCCCCGGAATCTGATCTCTTTGCCATTTCTAGCTCTAATGTACCTTAACCAGGGTTTCTGCAGACATCATAATGTCAGATTTAAGACTTTTTAAGACCTTTTAAGACCATTAAGTATTAATTTCAAGACCTACAGTTGAAGTCAGAATTATTAGCCCCCTTCAATTTTTTTCTTCTTTTTTAAATATTTTCCAAATGATGTTTAACAGAGCGAGGAAATTTTCACAGCATGTCTGATAATATTTTTTTCTTCTGGAAAAAGTCTAATTTGTTTTATTTCGGCTAGAAAAAAAGCAGTTTTAAATTTTTTAAACACAATTTTAGGGACAAAATTATTAGCCCCTTTAAGCAATATTTTTTTCTCGATAATCTACAAAAAAAAACCACTGTTATACAATAACTTGCCTAATTACCCTTACCTGCCTAGTTAACCTAATTAACCTAGTTAAACCTTTAAATGTCACTTTAAGCTGTATAGAAGTGTCTTGAAAAATATCTAGTAAAATATTATTTACTGACATCATGGCAAAGATAAAATAAATCAGTTATTAGAGATGAGTTATTAAAACTATTATGATTAGAAATGTGTTGAAAAAATTTGCTCTCCGTTAAACAGAAATTGGGGAAAAAATAAACAAGCGGTCTACAAATTCAGGGGGGGCTAATAATTCTGACTTCAACTGTATATCACAATATCAAAAACACACATACGCATAAAGAGAAAATGCAAATATCAGAAAATTAGTAGCTAAATGTATTTATTCAAATTGAACAGTGCTGAAAACACACTGTAAAAAAATGTCCGTGATTTTAACAGTAAAAGTCTGTACAATCTACAGTGAAAACCTGTTAAATGATTTACAGCTCATTTCTGTACAAAATACGTAAAATAACTGTGACAGATCTAATCTAACTGTTTTCGAGAAACTAATCAGAGTGTCTGAAATCTCACTATACACCCTCATTCACTAGTCCCTAAATTAAGCTGCGGTCACACTGGGCTTTTCCTCCCATAGACTTCCATTCATACGCACGCGAATGCGTCAGACCGGAAATGTCATGCGTCAAGTTTCGCAGGTTGCTGCGGTGCAAAGTTCAAGCTTGGTGAACTCTGACCTGCGAAATCGCATCACTTGACTGCGTGAGAACAGTCGAGGATCAAAACATATCATCTCTGGACAGAAATTGAAAACATGGAGCAATCACTCGCTTTTTTAAATGTATAATAAGCTTGTTTAATCCCGCCCCTTTTCGCAGCGCCGCATAACAGAATATCGCATGCTCAAACTCTAGTGTGACCGTAGCTTAAGTCAACTAGCTTAATCCACTAGACAGAGTGAATGACCACAATGAGTGAGTGATGAACACCTGCTGTTAACAAGCACAATCACTGAAGGAAAGAACAAGAAATAAAACTACAGGCACTACAGACATTTTTATTGAAAATATTTTATTTGACCTCACCATCTTGGAGATCAGAGGCTGCTTTAGTTGAGCTCTTGAACCTTTACGTTTCTATCTTAATGTTTCTCTGGCTGTTATAACTGTGTTTCTGAAACTCTTAATAGCAAGAAAGGCAATGACAAAATATACTGTGTGAACCTAATCGTTACGGATATCACTTCTAGTATTTTATAAGTTAAAACATAGAAAATACTTTTATTTGATATTGTTTGGGATATGTTACAGCTTCCCATGACTATTCAACAAACAAATATAAAGGAATTAATAAGAAATTAATTTAATTATATTCATGGGCAAAACCTTGAGATCTCCAGCTGCACATCATGACACATCAAGAATCAGGATATGAACCTCAACCATGGTTGCTAAAAAAAAGCTGCTTAATTCATTCATGCTGCAATGCATGCTGGGTGCCAGCATAGTATAACAATCCCAGCATGCATTGCAGCATGAATATATTATGCAGCTTAAAGTTCTTACAATCTTCTTTTCCTTTATTTTATGTTGTTTTTGGGAGGAAATATTTCAGTAGATTGTTTTGTTTTGTTCTAAGTTGTTTTTTTATTAGATTTTTATTTATTGTTTGTCACCATTATTGAGATTCAAAGACTATTTGTTGATGTCTGTGTGTTTTTAAGTTCTGCCAGAGATCAAACATTCTCGTTGTGAATGGTGCACTTAGCCCTGTTAAACAGTCATTGGCTGCTGTGGGTCAAGTGGTTTTATTCACATTGATATTCATTTCTTACTTAAAACTAACAAGATATTCAATGAGTGCACATGCAGGTGAGGGTGGTTTCAATATCATGGTTAATCTTAATAAAAATAATAAAAATAAAAAATAAAAATAAAAATCTGCATCAGTTGTGCCACTTTGCTGTCATTGCCTCATGGTCTCTTAAAGCTTCCACAGGATGTTCACTTCAGACTTTCACCTAATAAATACTCTGAATGTGGACAGACTCTACTCTTTTTTTACCCAATGTGTATTGTTTGTGTGCAGTCTCTGTAAACCCTGTTGATGGTACACCACAAGCCAAACTGCTCAACCAGCGCAAATCTAAATCACCGCATGGCTTTTCACATACAAATAACAAAAAGAGACTTCATTACACAGGAGGGGATTTCATGCTTCCTTGTAATCAGATACAAAACAACCCTTTGATAAGACTGCATTCCACTACAAACTCTCCTTCAAAAACTCCCAGAGTCCAGAAGTACAAAAGCTCTCCTACTGATAAAACAGGTTTAAACCTTGCAAAAATGCTAAAAGTATTCAAAACATCCCATGTTTGATCTATGGATAAAACCTTCAGGCACAACTGTATTGAAAATGCAGTCATCAAGACAAACTACTGCAGAAAAGCAATATATAAATAGTAGAACAATAACAAAAGCACATCATTTTACAGCATGTCTTTAAACGTGCCATTTTTGTTATGCATATAATTTATTCATTTATTTTCTTTTCAGCTTAGTACTTTTATTAATCCAGGGTCGCCACAGTGGAATGAACCGCCAACTTAACCAGTACATTTTTACGCAGCGGATGCCCTTCCAGCTGCAACTCATCTCTGGGAAACATCCACACACACACACACTACAGACAATTCAGCCTACCCAGATCACCTGTACAGCATGTCTTTGGACTGTTGGGGAAACGGAGCACCCAGAAAAAACCCACGCGAACGCAGGGAGAACATGCAAACTCCACACAGAAACGCTAACTGACCCAGCCAAGGCTCGAACCAGCGACCTTCTTGCTGTGAGGCGACAGCACTACCTACTGCACTACTGCGTCACAGGTTATGGTTATAATACTTAAAATGATTTCAATCTAAATCTGAGCATTTATAAACACTCACTCACTTTCATTTGGCTTAGTGCCTGATTTATCAGGGGTCATCACAGCGGAATGAACCATCAATTACTCTTTCATATGTTTATTCAGTGGAGGCTCTTTCACTTTTCCCAACACTGGGAAACATCTACAATGACAAATTATTCTAGAGCGTTGCAGCCAAATACTGATAACATGATTACATTGAGTCATTTGTCCGAAGAGACTTACAATTGAAGAGGCATTCAGCAATACAAGAAGAGGAGGCAATGCACACAAGACGTGCTAATTATATAAAGGAACTGTTAGAGAATGAAGTGCTAGAGTTGGGGGTTAGAATGAGAAGAGTGTTTCTACAGGTGGTTTGTCAAGCCCACTCACCCGTGTGAAACTTGCTTCATAAATGCACAATGCCTTTATTGATTTGTTTTTTGTGATCTTGAGTGATTGTAAGAAAGTGTCTGGTGAAAATGTTCAAAACTGGTGCAAGTGTTGGTTAAAATGTCAGAGATAAAAGAGTGTCTTACACATTGCCTAAGGGTGCTTTCACACCTGTGTATCGATTCAGTTGTTCCGAAACAGAGATTACAATTGTTACATTGTTGCTCTTTGCTCTTGGAGCGGTTCGCTTTCACACTGCAAAGTTTATAATCGGACCAAAAGAGCTAAAACAAGTCACGTGCGAGTAAACTCTCCTTACATTGGTAAGTGTAAGGGTTTATTTTGCAGCGTCCTGCTAAGCTGTCAGGAGAGGTGGTGGTTTGGTGGTGATTGACAGGGTGCGCGCGCGTGACGTGTCTGAGCAGAGATGCGGTGGGGAGGGGTGAGAAGGGTGCGCGACGATGCCTATTTGAGGACCGGGAGGGAGACGCGAGATTACCGGGAGATCATCACTCGTTTGCGGGCATCCGGAGACTCTGGAAACTTCCCGCCATACTAATTTTTCTCTTTTCATATAGCCGTAAGCCTATTACATATTTATAAAACACTGTGATATAACCGCGCTCGGATCGGATCACTTTCTCACTGCAATCGAACCGCTCCAGGGTTCGTTTCAATCGAGCCTAGACCACCTCATTCAAGCGATCTCGGAGCGATTACTTTGGTGCGGAACAGAGCGCGATTGCCCTGTTCACATATGCCAAACGAACCGCGCTAACTGGGCAAACGAGATACGTTCCGAAACAAAAGTGTAGGTGTGAAAGCACCCTAAAATGCGGCTCACACATTGCCGAAAACACAGGTTCAGGTGAGTCCACACACAGCGGTGGAAATAACTGGAAACGTTTAAATTCTGAATGTCAATTCTGATAACTTTTCGAATAACCGCCCTGCCCTAGCTCACATTTTAGAGTGAGGGATGTTTGAATGTGTGCATTACTTATAAACACACACTATTCACCATCTATGAACATTTAATGAACATCAACGCTAAACAACTGAAATGAAAACACAAATTGTCTAATATGCGGCTCTCCGCGCCACCCATCCTCGTCACCTCTATCAATTCAGCCAATCACAAAGCTTGTGTTACATGTCGTTGTGACGTGTGCATAGATTTTTCTGTAAATAATTTTTTGTACATAAAATCTGAATAGCGTGGTCATGTGACTGCACAAACAGAAGGGAAAGTAATTGGAAAAAATTGACCAAGAAAAATTTGATCGATTATTGGTTCTGAATGTCAATATTGATTGATTAATCCCCCAGCATATATATTTTTTGCTAGTCTACAGAACAAACCATCGTTATACAATAACTTGCCTAATTACCCTAACCTGCCTAGTTAACCTAATTAACCTAGTTAAGCCTTTAAATGTCACTTTAATCTAAATATTAGTATCTTAAAAATATTTAGTCAAATATTATTTACTGTCATCATGGCAAAGATAAAATAAATCAGTTAATAGAAATGAGTTAAAACTATTATCTTTAGAAATGTGCAGAAAAAAAATCCTTTAAACAGAAATTGGAGAAGAAAAAAAGTGGGGGCGAATAATTCTAACTTCAGCTGTACATCTCTCAAACAAAGCAAAGTAGACATGCTTGTAGACCCTGTTTCAGGAACAGTTTGTGTTTTGATACTTATTTTAGTTATTTATTTAGTTTACATTGTTAGAAATTATTTGTTTTATGCAACAGCAAAGCATGGCTGTTTGCTTTCAGAAGTTGAAGTGAGGCTTTCTTTTCCATTAAATAACATGACTTTTTTTTTAAATATTGTATTGCATGTTGCATTATTTACAATGCTATCAGGGCCCAACAGAATCTGAGAATATTTTGTACTTTTTCTGTGTACAATTTTGTAAAACAATACGCCAATTTAAGTGGAATGATTAGGGAAGCATAGTAACTAGAACATTAAAACATTAAATAAAAAAATTAAAAACCTTTATTTTAAGTTTACAATGCAAATCCAGTTAGATCCACTTGTTTGGTAAACAAAGCAAGCCTCACATTCAACAATAAATAAATCATGCAAACAACTGCATATCAGTCAATACTATAACTGAATAGGCATGGGCCGGTATAAGATTCTGACAGTATGATAACCTTGGATATAAATATCACGGTTTCACGATATTACGGTATTGAGATAGCTGCTCTACAATATATTGCTTTTAAATGTCTGGAGTAGAAAACAAAACCCTTTTCCCTTTTGTACACAATATATTTTAATTTAAGAATCATTTGAAATATTTTGGAGCGCTAAACGTGTCAGGCTAAATAATTCTAATAAATTAATGACTTCTGCTGTCTTAATCTGTTTCAAAAACAGATTATTTTCCAATATAAAATGGCATCTTTCACTCCAAAAAATTATATGTTGGCTTTAATTAACTTTTTTTATGTCAACAGGTTCCATGTAACCGAGTTAAGTTACCTTAAAGAAAGAATATTTATTTTACTGAACTTAAGTTACATAAAGGTAATGTAATGTTGTTTAGTTCAATCAACACAACATTTACAATTTAGCTTTCATTTATTCACACTGTTAAAAAATCTGTTAAATTTACAGAAAAACAGCGGCAGTGGTTGCCGGGAATTTACTGTAAAATACGAAGTTTTCTAGGACTGTTTAAATTTACAGAAAATAACCGTATTTCATCAACTACTATCCTCCACAATAGAGACCTTTTCTGTTGTAGGAAAACTGTAGTTTTAAAAAAACAAAAAAAAAAAATGTAAATAAAAAATCTTACACATACCTTAGGATTGGTATAGCAGAAAATGTTGATGGTTTTAAAACCTTGACTTTTCCAAACCCTATATACCTTAAATACAGTCATCATCCCATGCCTATTACTGAAACTAGATTTTAAAGTTTAAAGACAAACTTCATGGTGTCTTGAGAAAGTCTGTTGAATGTAGCTTGTTTAATTTGAGATAGAATTAGCTTATTAGCATGAATTAGCATCCGGTTAGCAATGTTACTGACATTAATATAAAAACATTTACACACCGAAGTAAATAAACAGGCTTAATAAAGGGCTAAAAAATCACTTCTCCGTGTACAGATTCAGTGTGGACGGTTGCCTTAAATTCCACACAGCCCCAGTTTAAATGCCTTTAAATGCCAGTCATTCCTCATGGAAAAGAGGTTACAGAAACTGCACTCCACCTTGGATTGTGTGTATGTGGGTGAGCGATACCATCACACACCACTTCATTCTGTGAACTTTCCTGGAAAACGTTCCAGGTGGAAAAGTGTCAGAATCCAAAGAAGAACAAAAGAAAGAAACACTCCCAATAAACGGCAAAACCCACATGAAATACTAGTCATTTACGGTAAATATTAGTGTGAAATAAATTTAAAATTGCAATTTAATATTTTTCGCCCAGATACAGTACACAGTGTTTGCATTCAACATACTGACAAGGTCATAGTCAGGTAGCTTTAATATAAACAAAAGGAAAGCCAAAATACCACCTGATATTGACACTTAGTTCAGCAAAAATATTTCTGTATGAATCACTTTTTTTTTTTTACTTTCGTCCTTCCTCCTATGTACTACAATACACCACAATTTACTGTAGTAAAAAACTAAAGTATAATAAAGTATGTAATATAGTTTATCAGTGCACTATATTTAAACCTAAAGTATGTTGTAGTATTTATTAAAAAGAGTTGCACGCAGCACTAAAATATATACAAAATAATACAACATACACTAGTATTTGCTATAACTTATTATAGTTTTTTTTTCATGTAGGAAGCTACGTATCCCAAACATATAACACACAATGTAAGTGACCCTGGAGCACAGAAACAGTGTTGTGTTGCATAATTATTGCAGTTTCTTTTATGCAACTAAAACTAGAATATGATGTAAAGATCATGTTCCATGAAATATAAATACACCAAAACTCAACTTTCCAGTAGAAACATGAATTGCTAAGCACTTCTCTTATACTGCTTTAAAGGTGATGTTCTCAATATTTACATCTATTAAACACTCAAATTGCAGATTTTTAAATACTTGTATCTTGGCCGAATACTGTCCGATCTTAACCATCCTGTGCACCAATGGAAAGCCTACAGAAGATGTTTAAATCTCTTTTCTTTTTTTAAAGAAACTTATTGGACTTTACGACATGCATGACCAGTCAAATATTTAGGTCCCACTTTTTATTGAGTAGTTTTAGCTAGATTATATACTTACACTGTAATTAACCATTTGTTACAATGTACTTATTGTGTAAATACATGTGTAAACATTGTACTTGACTTGTGCCTGCATGTAATTACATCTGCTAATTTCTTTACACTGTTGATCATCCCCTACACCTTAAACCTACCAAACCTGTCTCTAACCCTAAGTAACCCTTATAGTGTATAGAGAAACCCTTAGTGTTTCTCTATACACTATGAAGACAGTGAGTACATCGTATTTACTGATTTGTTTGTATGTAACTACATAGTAGTTAAGGCCACTTAATATAAAGTGGGACCCCTATTCAGTCATTAGACCTACCTGCGTTATAAAAGTGATCAAGAACTGATGTTTCGCCAAAGTCCAGCTTCCCAAAGGGCACCACATCTAGTTTACAGCCCACAATGTCGCAGGCATCCTTCAGACACTGTAGTGCCATGTTCTCCGGGCTTGAAGGCTGGCTGGTCTCGGAGTTCCTCACATAAGCCACTGTCACGGCTCGGCTCTTGCATTTCCCCGGGGTCAGCAGTGCGACCCCGTCCGAGGGCAAGCTGATCAGCCCGGGGTTGGCACTCTTACAGTTGGAGGGGTCCTGCCAGAAAGCCCCAGCACCAGAATTATTCCCAGCACTGGATTCTCCATCACTGCCTCCCATCATCACCATCATCATCTCCAGGGGCTGGCTGAGAGAGGGCACAGACAGAGAAATGGCCTCCAGATCTGAATTCATCTTTCATCAGTTGGTGAAGCGACACTCAGCAGTTGCTGCTAACGTTAATTAACCGCCACACTCCATAGCTGGCACTCGTGCCCGCACCACGACAGGCATCAAACTAGTAATGATAATGACATTACGTCATCAGATCTAACAATTTAGGATTATCGATCAATAGTTCTAGATCAAACTCAAAGAAATCCGCTCAGCAGCATAAAGAGTCCTGAACTGAAATAAAAACTCGCAACAGTTCGAAACAACAGCAGCGATCAAGGACTGTTGACGGACATGCTGGTCACGACGCAAATGACTGATATCTCTCACTCCTGCAAACACACTGACGTCCTCAAACTGAAGCCTTCGCGAAACTTATTTGATAAACTTGACCCGTATTCCGGAGCGCCAGCAACTGCTAGCTTGCTAAGTACGTTAACGCGGTCGGTCCTGTTGATCGCCGCCTGCATCACACCGAGCCGTTTCCCCGCTAGACATTAACATTGGGTTTTCTCGGTCTTGTCGTTCCTGTTTATGTCACTTGTGTTTGTTGTGAAATCGCTCGCTCGCTCGCGGCTGAAGTGCGTTCATTTGGACCCTGCCCTGTTTCTATTATTATCTTCAGAACTCACGCTCGGGGGCGGAGCAACACGCTTGACTTGCGACTTGGAGGAAGCCAGCCGACCAATCCGATTACAGGAAAAGCTTATGAATATTTAACACGTAACTTGACGTTTACTAGTTCGGCTTACTTTATTTTCATTTCATTCATTTTATTTAATTTTTAATGTATAACACAGAACGTATATAGGCTTAAGTCAAAATGAACAGCTGATCATATTGTGAAACACAAATATACTCCCTGTATTTTATTCCATATTTATATACATGCATACATACATACATACATACATACGCATATATACATATTACAGCTGATTCCCATCTAGAAACCACACTCATGTGTTGAGGTTTTTTCATTCAAATCATCTTACTGTGTGTTCTAAAAGAGGACTCGAGGTTTTTGAAAGGAACAGCGAGCGCATCAAAGAACTCCGTCACCAATACGTCCAGGTAAAGTTATGCAATACAGTTATTACTTTACTATACACAATGTGTTTTGCAGTAAACTACTCTATAAACCTCGAGTTCGTTACAGTTTTTTACAATGGATATAACAGTTTTTTCAATATACATTTACAGTTTTTTCCAATTGTTTACACACAATTACTTGTAGGCCTACTTCAGACACAATGACAACATGTAATAACTGATGCACCAAACCCCTAAACCAATTCTGCTAAACTATAAGCACAATTCCTGCTTACACTCAAATTGCAGGTTTAAAACACACTTTTTTTTCAAAACACCACACACAATTCTCTACATTTTGTACAATTATCATGCAGAAAATCTCTTGTTTTCACTAGTAACACACTGTCTGTCAAAATTGTAAAGTCACTTGCCCTACTTTGCATACCAACTCAAATCAGAGCTCATCTGGTTTATAACTGGCTTACTGCCCACCCATGTTGTTGTTGTTTTTTTTTTGTTTTGTTTTTTTTTTTACAGTTTTTCTGATTGCTTACACACATTTTCTGAAAGCATGTCTCATATTGTCAGAACTCTACACACAAATCACAAAACACACACACATTGGGCAAAACTCTTCAATTCTTCTGCAAAATGAAACTCTACGTTCAAAACAATGTGATTTCTTCTCAAAATAGGTATTTTGTTTTCATATGACACACAAACCATCTCATCAATAGACATTTATAAGATCACTTATGAATGATTGAACACTGATGTGCTTAATGTAAAACACTATGACCACTTCTTCTTCATTCATCATAATGACAGTGTTACACTTACTACAGACATGCATTGGCCTATAGAAGTGCATTCATTGTAAAATATTTTAGAATTTTGTTTTTATACAAAACACACAAATACCAAATATATTTTACTGTATTTTTCTCACAAAAACAGTGTACTCGGTGTTCATCCACACCAACACAAAGTTGCACATAACTTGGTATATGCCATCAACAAAAGAAGTTACAGAATACAGTTACAGTAAAAATAAAACAAACAAACAAACAAAAAAGTGTGTAGTCGTGGCCGAGAGGTTAAGGCGATGGACTTGAAATCCATTGGGGTCTCCCCGCGCAGGTTCAAACCCTGCCGACTACGTTGGTTGGCGCTTCCATGACGTGGACTAGTTCTTTTAGCTCATTTCTCCCTAACGGAAATGCTGTCCTTCTCTGCATCTCGCAAACAAGCCAGTGTCCCTTGGTGTCCAGGCAGCTGCAGTGCCAAGCAGTGAGCCAGTGGTGTGCCGTGATCGTATAGTGGCCAGTACTCTGTGTTGTGGCTGCAGCAACCCTGGTTCGAATTCGGGTTACGGCGGCGTGTTCCTGCAAGACGATGCATTGGCTGCTTTTTGCAACCTCGTGCCATCCACTGGATTCTACCCCAGGCCTTGCTGTGTCCAGTGTTGCCCACATCGAGCCAAGAAAGTCAAAGGGCTGCAGCCTTGAGTAGTCGTGGCCGAGAGGTTAAGGCGATGGACTCGAAATCTATTGGGGTCTCCCCGCGCAGGTTCGAACCCTGCCGACTACGGAGCCGCAGGCTGCTTTTGTCTTTTTCTCTCTTCGATTGGAATTGTGGCTTTCACGTCGTTTGGTTGTGGGCCTGGGTGTTTAATCCCACTTTGACTAATTCGAGTCTGGCGACTAGCCACAATTTAGCTTTTTTTTGTGGTCCCTACAATCTGATGTTGCCTAGAGAAACATTCAATAAATCGACAGCAACATCTTGCATGGCTCCAACGTTGAGGCAAAAATTGGGATTTGATTGTTTTTTACCAAGTCGCACAGTCCTTTTCGGCTGTCCCTTTGCAGCACATTTTCCCCCCCGCTCCATCTGCTGCTGGAGAGTTGCATTATGCACGGCTCCTTTCAAGACTGATGCTAGGACAGTTCCAAAAGGCCCAGACGGAATGTGCTCTTGGCCATGCTGTTGGACCATGCCTTTGGTTACACCTCATGACTTCAAGGTCTTCCATGGTGCAGCTCAGCAGTGGCATGGCACAGCTTTGAAACGCAGTTTCCTGGACGACGACTGCTTCAGTTTTTATTAGAGGACGCAGGTCTGTGCTGTGATGAGAACGTGTTGTCATCTGGCAAGGGGCTTGCAGAGGCCCAACTCCGCAAACAAGCGCATGTGTGTACAAGAGCCCGGATAGCTCAGTCGGTAGAGCATCAGACTTTTAATCTGAGGGTCCAGGGTTCAAGTCCCTGTTCGGGCGAGGGGCTTTCTCTTTGGCGGAGACCTCGTCATGCTTTAATATCACTCGGTGGCTGTCTGTTGGGGTGTGGCCCAACACGAGAGCACTTTGCTCTGAATTCAGATCGTCAGCTTGTGAGAAAAGAGTGCTCATGAAGTTAGCTGAGCGTGTCTGATTGGAGAGTTGTGCTGTCTCTGCTTCCCGGAGACTGTGCGCAAAAGCTGCTCAAGAGATAGTGTGCCTTGCTCTCTGCTTGCTGACCCCGTGCCTTGTTGGAACCTCAGCAGGAGAGGGAAAGGAGACATCTGTAGTCGTGGCCGAGTGGTTGAGGCGATGGACTAGAAATCCATTGGGGTTTCCACGCGCAGGTTCGAATCCTGCCGACTACGCTATTTTGTTGGGTTAGGCTATATTAGGCTATATTGTTGTTCTCTTATCTTTCAATTCTCCTATACGTATTTGCAGTCCTCCTCTGCATCTCACAAACAATCCCCTGACCCTCAGTGGCCAGGCAGCTGTGGGTGAGCGACAGCGGTTTGCCATGACATTGCAGTGATCAGTGCTCTGTGTTGTGACCAGAGAATTCCCGGTCGTAGCAGCGCGTACCTGTTAACAGAAAGCCATGCTGGCCTGAGTTTTTGTCACCTCAGGAACATTGGCTGGATTTCTCACCCCAACCTCCGTTGTATCTAAGCGAGCAGACAAGGGCCAGCCAGGTGTAGTCGTGGCCGAGAGGTTAAGGCGATGGACTCGAAATCCATTGGGGTCTCCCCGTGCAGGTTTGAACCCTGCCGACTACGTTGGTTGGCGCTTCCATGACGTGGACTAGTCCTTTTTGGTCATTTCACCCTAACGGAAATGCTGTCCTTCTCTGCATCTCGCAAACAAGCCAGTGTCCCTTGGTGTCCAGGCTGCTGCAGTTGCAAGCCGTGAGCCAGTGGTGTGCCGTGATCGTATAGTGGTCAGTACTCTGCGTTGTAGTCGCAGCAACCCTGGTTCGAATCTGGGTCACGGCAGCATGTTCCTGCAAAGCGATGCGTTGGCTGCTTTCTGCAACCTCGTGCCATCCACTGGATTCTCCCCCAGTCCATGCTGCTTTGCTCTGAATTCAGATCGTCAGCTTGTGAGAAAAGAGTGCTCATGAAGTTAGCTGAGCGTGTCTGATTGGAGTGTTGTGCCGTCTCTGCTTCCCGGAGACTGTGCGCAAAAGCTGTGCGCAGGTTCGAACTCTGCTGACTGTATAATGTGTGTGTATATGTATGGAGTGTATCATGTGTGCATATGTATGGTCTGAATATGTTCAGAGTGTATCATGTATGGTGTGTATATGCATATAGTGCATGAAATTATCAGCTTCCAGTAGGTCGGTTGTAATGTGAGTGTAAGGTGGTAGTTAGTGTAGTTTGGATAAGACATCTTTGGACGTTGAAGATAATTATAATTTTTTTTTTTTTTTATAATTTTTAATTATTACACTAGATTAGAGGGCATTTTATATTACAACCCCAAATCAGAAAAAGTTGGGACTGTATAAAAACGGCAAATAAAAAAGTAATTTCTAAATTTACTTTGACTTGTATTACATTGCAGACAATAAAACAATCGTTATTTGATATATTGCTTATGATAGTTTTATCTCTAAAAATAAACAATTACATTTGTGGTTTGTGATGCACATTTCAAAAGCAGTTGGGACAGGAGCAATTTAGGGCTAGTAAATCAGGTAAAG